TCTTTATGATTGGTCTCTCCCTGCGCCGCTCTCTACCTCCTTTGACCGGTACCAGTCCCCCGGCGGCTGGGCCACTCCTGTTTTTTCTACCTCCTCTGGCCGCACATATACGTCTCTCTGGCGTCTTTTTACTGCTCTTACCCCTAGTTATTGGAAGGCCGGTACCCGCAGTGTTTCTTACCCTTCTCACTCCCAACATTATGTTCAAGCCTGTGTTGCTTCTCCTTACGCCTTACTTTATGGTCATATTAACATTTCTGTCTCTTCTGGTCACTATCATATTTCTTGCCCTTCTTGCACTCTTACCAACTGCATTGATTCCTCTATTTTTCCTACCCATACTATTCTCGTTGTTCATCAACCCCCTTATGTTATGCTTCCTGTTAATGTTTCTGGCCCCTGGTATGATGAATATAGCCTGCAAATTTTACATGACATCCGCGAATTAATTGTCCGCCCTAAACGTTTTCTGGGTATTCTGATTGCTAGTATTTTGACTATTGTTAGTGTTGTGGCCACGGCTGCCACAGCAGCTGTAAGTTTAGCTCACAGTATTCAAGCTGCCACATTTGTTAACCATCTAGCCCATAATGTTTCTGTTTCTTTGGGTACTCAAATTGATATTGATTCTAAATTGGAGGCTAAGCTTAATGCTTTAGAACAAACTGTTACTGTTTTAGGTGACAAGGTTCATAATCTTCAGTCTCGTCTTCGTTTCCGTTGTCATGCTGATTATAATTCCATTTGTGTTACTAGTGCTCCTTATAATGACTCAGAATGGGACTGGCCTCTGGTCCGTGCCCATCTACAAGGCATTTGGAGTCACAACAATCTGTCTTTAGACATTTTTCACTTACAGCGTCAAATTCATGCTATTGACTTTTCTCGAAGACAGCTGCCGCAGGATGCCACTATTGCCCGCGACATTGTGGACACGTTGTCCTCTTGGACTCGTGGTTTTCATTTACCTTCCCTTTCTACCTTAATTGACATTGGAGGTTTTCTCCTTGTACTCATCATTCTCTTGCCGTTCCTCTTCCGCCTTGTGTTCTCCTCCCTCCAGCACCTTCAGCTCAAACTTTTTGAGCTGCATTTAAAAACAAAAAAAGAGGGAATTGTGGGGAACGCTCCCGTGTGAGACCCCTAAAAGGCGTGAGTCTCACTATACGGTGAGTTTGATCCCAAACACAGTTTCCTACTGGAGGCAGTCGAGCTATCCGGAATATAGGAACCGAAAGATGATTGATCAGTTTCTAATATCAGCCACAATATCATCAGCCACAATATCGTTTGGGCCTAAAACTATGCGTTGCTGCTAGACCGAGTGACCCCCTACCAGCAACCAGTTCCTGCTTTTTAACCTTTTTTATGACTCTTTTAAGAATAAGTTTTAACCTTTTCTTTACTTACCTGACTGCCTAATGGTTTAACTGTCGATATTTGCAAAGCAAATGCCACCATAAGGGATGGCTTTGATTCCTGACTCAGAGATTCCTGAATGGGGAAATTGAGTTAAGTTGAGTTAGGAGTAGACAAAGGAGAATCCGGTTAAAGGATATTCTGATGAGCAAAACCAAAAAACTTTTCACATCTCAGTTCTAAAACAAGATCAAACCGGAGATACCTGCAGCCAGGAGGAATAATGTCTGGATGCAAACAAGCTTTGTGATTACAGGAAATTCTGTTACTTTTTACAACCACTGATTGTGTATCTGACTTCTCAATTGTATAGGCCATGTAAGGTATACATTTGCATTTCCTCTTGCAACCATTGTGTATCTGATTTCTCTATTGTATAGGCCATGTGAGGCATACATTTACATTCCTCTTGCTATGACGTAAACCAGAGCCAAGAAAGTGTATTTATTCCTGGCATTTGAAAAATAAAATTTGCTGTTTAGGCACAGCCTATCAGCCCTCCAGACGCCTCGCTTTCTCTCTCTCTGTCTTTATTATTTTCTCAGGCGCACTCCCTCTTCCAGGTATTGGGACCCTCTTGCAGGTCGAGAGACCCCCGGGCAGACGTGCCTACCCGTCCGGACGGTCCAAGACACTATCTTTAGTCATTTAAAAAGAATTTGCAGGCCGGGTGCAGTGGCTCACACCTGTAATCCCAGCACTTTGGGAGGCTGAGGTGGGTGGATCACGAAGTCAAGAGATATGCAGACCACCCCGGTCAACATGGTGAAACCCCGTCTCTACTAAAAAAAAAACACAAAAAAACTAGCTGGGTATGGTGGCGTGTGCCTGTAATCCCAGCTACTCAGGAGGCTGAGGCAGGAGAATTGCCTGAACCCAGGAGGCGGAGGTTGCAGTGAGCCGAGATCACGCCATTGCACTCCAGCCTGGGTAACAAGAGCGAAACTCCATCTCAAAACAAAAACAAAGAATTTGCAAGAAAAAAATCCCAAACCAGTTTTCTTACCTAGTGATAGGGCCCAAGCTGAAGATCACTCTCTACAGATGCAGAAGCAGGCAGGCTTGCCTTCCTTGATGGAAGCGAATGGAAACTCCCAAAAAAGGAGTTATTTTAACAGCAAATAAACATCAGACCCCCACCTGAAAAACACTGGAAGATGAGGGATTCCTGGAGGAACCAGGTCCCAGACTTCAGCAATTAACCTATCAGTTTAGGCAATAAGGTGCCCAAGCCAGTACCAAGGACCACTAGGTGAGCTGCTGTAGGCTGGGTACCCCAGTACTCACCAAATGTCAATTGAGAAAAATGACAAGTCTCAATCATTTTAGGAGGCTTATTTGCCAAAGGACGCCTGCCTGTGACACAGCCTAAGGATGTCCTGACGATGTGCGCCCAAGGTGGTCGAGGCACAGCTTGGTTTTATATATTTTAGGCAGACATGAGACATCAATCATACATGCGAGGACAGGCCAGGCGCGGTGGCTTGTACCTGTAATCCCAGCACTTTGGGAGGCCGAGGCAGGCAGGTCAAGAGGTCAGGATTTTGAGACCAGCTTGATCAACATGGTGAAACCCTACCTCTACTAAAAATACAAAAATCAGTGTGGTGGCAGATGCCTGTAATCCCAACTACTCAGGAGGCTGAGGCAGGAAAATTGCTTGAACCTGGGAAGGCAGAGGTTGCAGTGAGCTGAGATCGCACTCCAGCCTGGGCGACAGAGTGAGACTCCATCTCAAAAAAAAAAAAAAAAGGATATTGGTTCTGTCCAGAAAGGTGGGGACAAATAGGAGCATGGAAGGGGTTTCCAGGTCACAGGTAGGTGAGAGACAAATGGTCGCATTCTTTGAGTTTCTGATAAGCCTCTCCAAAAAAAGCTATCAGAATATGCATTTATCTCAGTGAGCAGAGGGATGACTTTGAATAGAATGGGAGGCAGGTTTGTCTTGAGCAGTTCCCAGCTTGACTTCTCCCTTAGCTTAGTAATTTTGGGATCCCAAGACTTTCCTTTCACAACAGATAACGAAAATGGGGTGTATATATATACACAATGGAGTACTATTCAGTCCTAATGAAAGAATGAAATCCTATCATTTGTCACAGCATGGATAAACCTGAGGAGATCATGTAAGCAAAATAAGACAGAGAAAGACACATACCTCTCACTCAGGTGGAATCTTTAAAACAGAGTTAATCGGCCGGGCGCCGTAGCTCAAACCGGTAATCCCAGCACTTGGGGAGGCTGAGGCGGGTGGATCATGAGGTCAAGAGATCGAGACCATCCTGGTCAACATGGTGAAACCCCGTCTCTACTAAAAATACAAAAAATTAGCTGGGCATGGTGGCGCATGCCTGTAATCCCAGCTACTCAGGAGGCTGAGGCAGGAGAGTTGCCTGAACCCGGGAGGCGGAGGTTGCGGTGAGCCGAGATCGCGCCATTGCACTCCAGCCTGGGTAACAAGAGCGAAACTCCGTCCCCCCCCCAAAAAAAAAGAAAGAAAGAAAACAGAGTTAATCATTAAGAGATCTACCAGGCCGGGTGCGGTGGCTCAAGCCTGTAATCCCAGCACTTTGGGAGGCCGAGGCGGGTGGATCACGAGGTCGAGAGATCGAGACCATCCTGGTCAACATGCTGAAACCCCGTCTCTACTAAAAATACAAAAAATTAGCTGGGCATGGTGGCACGTGCCTGTAATCCCAGCTACTCAGGAGGCTGAGGCAGGAGAATTGCCTGAGCCCAGGAGGTGGAGGTTGCGGTGAGCCGAGATCGCGCCATTGCACTCCAGCCTGGGTAACAAGAGCGAAACTCCGTCTCAAAAAAAAAAAAAAAAAAAAAAAAAAAAAAGAGAGATCTACCAGTTGTCTGAGGTATTGGGTTGACTTTTGTTTTTTGTTTTTGAGACGGAGTTTCACTCTGTTACCCATGCTGCAGTGCAATGGCGCGATCTCGGCTCACTGCAACCTCTGCCTCCCGGGTTCAAGCGATTCTCCTTCCTCAGCCTCCCGAGTAGCTGAAACTACAGGTACGCGTCACCACGCCCGGCTAATTTTTTGCATTTTTAGTAGAGACGGAGTTTCACCATGTTGGCCAGGCTGGTCTCAAACTCCTGACTCGTGATCTGCCCGCCTCGGCCTCCCAAAGTGCTGGGATTAAGGCGTGAGGCACTGCGCCCGGCGTGAATTTTGTTTTTCAGTTGACAGAGAAACAGGGAGTAGACTGTGGGGAAGGAAGCGGGGGCTGGGAGAGGTTGGTCGGAGGCACGAAGTAACCGTCAGGAGGACGAATTCTGGTGTTCTCACGCACTGCAGGTGACTGCAACAGTGAGGTATTAGGACAAGCTCCCCTGGTTCGATAATTAGACGACATATATGTTTATGAACATCAAATTGTACTCATAAATATGTGCCGTTACAATGTGTCGATTAAAAGAAGGTTTTTCAATTAAAAAATTTTAAAACCTTGTTCCTCGCGGTGGGCGGCGCCCGTCGCGGAGTCTGCAGGAAGGCGGCCCCAGAGCCCCGGAAGTGCCGCCGCTGCGCGTACTTCCGGCGCGACTCCGCCTTGACGCACAGGAAGTGACGCCACTGTGGCTGGCCGCGAAGTTCGGGGCTGGCGCTCTCGCTCGGAGGCGGGTCCCTGGACCCGGAAGCGCGGCTGCTGCAGCGGGAGGCTTCAAGTGGGGTCTGCGTCGCAGCCCGCCCGGCGTGTGCACGATGCGGCTCGGCGCCGGGACGTTCGCAGCCTGTTGTGTAGCGATCGAGGTGCTCGGGATCGCGGTTTTCCTTCGGGGATTCTTCCCGGCTCCCGTTCGTTCCTCTGCCGGGACCGAACACGGAGCAGAGCCCCCAGCGCCCGAACCCTCGGCTGGTACGGACCCCTGCCGGGCGTCTCCGCTCCCCGACCCTAACTTCCCCTAGAAGACCCTTTTATTCTTTTTCTGAGCCTTGCTGCCGGATTTCTTCTTAGAGTTCCCCTGTGGTCTCTTCCATTATGGTCCCCATCCCCAGAAATTCTTTCTTTTCTCTTTTCTTTTTCTTTCTTTTCTCTCTTTCTCTCTCTCCCTGCCTCCCCGCCTCCCCTCTCTCCTCTCCCCTCTCCCCTCTCCCCTCTCTCCTCTCTCTTCCTCTTCTCCCCTCCGTCCCTCCCTCCTTTCCTTCCTATTAACTACTCCAGCGTCTCTTTTCTGTATTCCTACAACTTTGTGGCAGCTACTGCTACTGGCCCCACTTCGACCTTCCTTCCTGATCACAAAGTAAGCTGTGTCCATCCAGCCTCCAGCTCTACTCGTCAAGAGCCCCCGACCCTTTCCTGAGCAGCCTTTGGGTCACTCCCTGCCTCGGGCGCCGATTTTGCCCCCTAGCACACAGCAGATAAGACCCCTGCCGATCCCCTCGGGTTTGGTTCTCTTACATTCCTCCAAGATGTTTTCCCTAGTCTTCACCTACCCAGCCACACTCAGCAAGTAAAGGCGCCCTGCTCTGGACGGCGTGCACACACCACCAGCCACTGACCGTGTAAACGCCCAGCCATCCCGTACCTGCAGCTCTGCTTTTCAGGTCTAGCTCCTTAAATGTCCCATTCCAGGACCCTTATTTGGGGACTCCCTTGCCCCAGTACTTCTCACCATACGAAGGATAATTCACTGCTTACTACTGCGGGTCCCTAAGATTACTCCTGTTAACCCCCGCCCTGTCCCCTAGCACAGCCTACCAAGTACAGGTCGCCTCCTTTTGGGTTGGGTTATGTAGATAGGGCAGGATTTGTGCTGGACATGTAGGTAGAAGCTAGATTGTGAAGGTGCTTGAATGCTAAGGACAGTTTAAAGTTCAATGTCCTTCTTTTCTTTCACTTAGGAGCCAGTTCTAACTGGACCACGCTCCCACCACCTCTCTTCAGTAAAGTTGTTATTGTTCTGATAGATGCCTTGAGAGATGATTTTGTGTTTGGGTCAAAGGGTGTGAAATTTATGCCCTACACAACTTATCTTGTGGAAAAAGGAGCATCTCACAGTTTTGTGGCTGAAGCAAAGCCACCTACAGTTACTATGCCTCGAATCAAGGTAAGTTTGCCTTAATGTTTTATGAATCATGGTTTGGCTCATTTGAAGATTTATTGGGGGCCTCTGTAGTCTTTTGCTTGGAGTTGCAATTTTAAGAAGGTGGAAATTTGGTGCTATCATCTGGCTGGTGCTTTCAGCTATATAGAATGCTGAAAGAGCCTCACACAGGACGGAACTGAGACCCATGATTTGTGCCCCTTATGAAGTAGCCAAAACTCATGCTTCATGGGAAGTATAAAAGATTTAGAGCAAGATCATCCAGGCTAACCTACCCCAAGAGATAACATTCTTAGTAACCTTTCTTCTTTAATTGCCACTGGGTCATTTATAATCTTGGAAGGAACCTTTAGAGTTTATCTAGTTCAGTCTCTAAACTTTACAGATAGGAAAGCAAACTCAGGTAAGTTAAATGTGACTTCTCCAAAATTGTTCACCAGTGTACTAATGATCAAATCAGTGTGATCTGGCCTAAAGAATTATGACTGTTTCCACCGTATCCTTCAGGTGTCCAACCTAGTGACAGTAGCTTTGAAGTACATAATGCTTTTCCCAAGAACCATTGGTAAATAAAAAAGTAAGTCTTCATGGATTGGATTAAAAACTTTTGAACAACTACTGTGTGCTGAGATTTTAATGAGTATACAATTGGGGAGGCCGGGCGCGGTGGCTCACGCCTGTAGTTCAAGCACTTTGGAGGCCAAGGCGGGCGGATCACCTGAGGTCGGGAGTTCAAGACCAGCCTGACCAACACGGTGAAACCTCGTCTTTAAAAAAAAAAAAAACTGGGAAAAAGCAGTATCTCTGCCTTCATGGAGCTTTTAGCCTTTAGTGAGACATACGGTCACTAAACAAAAGAGCATATGAAAATGTGCAGTTGTGGTCAGTGTGTGGTGGAAAAGAACAGGACGTGATGTTCAGTGCTGAGTGGTGGGGTTAGATTAGGGGGTGAGAAAGCCTGGCTGAGGAAATTGCATTCCAACTGAGACGCGAAGGATGAATAAAGGTGGGGGCAGAAAGAAGCAGGGGGCTTGAAGTGTGTGTGTGAGTGTATTGCATGTGAGTGTGGCATAAAGTCTCTCACTGAGCCTTAGCTGTGTGGTTGATCATGTGACACCTTATTATCTGGTGAGAAGGAGCTACGGACTGATTTCAGGCTTGGGGGCAGCTGCATTGGTAGGTGCTCAGGAAATAGTCACTGAGTGAAAGCAGTCTGAGCCTGAAGGAAGCGCAGTGCCCTATGGCTCACTGACTTTTTCCTGGAATTTACTTTGCCTGCCACATTTAAATGTGATGTGACCTTCATTCAGCAGTATTTATTGAACGTCTATTATGTGCCACACAGTGTTCTAGACAGGAGGGGTGCAGTGAAGAACAAGACAGCATTGTCCTCATGGAGCTTACTTTCTAATTGGAGGGATAGAAAGCAGGTAAAGTATGAATCAATCAGGATTGTTTCAGACAGCGACAACTGCTCGGGCAGGAATGGAGGGAGAGGTGAGAGAGAATGAAGGGGACAGGCAGGTGCTTTTGATCACAGCACCCAGAGTTTCCTCCGTTCTGCCGAAACTAGCCCTGGGAATCTGGAAGATATCCAGGCCCCTGATATTCAGGGACACCGATTTCTTTATCTGCTCTATTGGAAGTGTGGAAGGAGCCCTTTTCTCCCTTATTTATTTATTTATTTAAGATTTAACAGGCAGGTTTAAGAAAATGCGTAAGTGATTGTGCAGGCTCCAGGTTCTATTCAGTCCAGCATGTCGGCACTGGTTCTTAGGGCCTCCGTCTCCAGCTTACTGGTTTCATTTCACCTTTGCTGGGGAGCCTCACCCCAGAGTTTTGTTTCATTTTCAGTCCTTTGAGGATTCTTTCTCCTTATTCCCCATCAGGGAGGAGCTAGAACAGAAATCTGCCCTCATTGGAGTTAAGATTGTACAGCCCTGGAGTTTGGTAGGTTGGGCAGTGGTGGTTGAGGAGTGTCCCCTGCCTGGCTTCCAGTCCGAGAAAGGCTCAGAGCATCTGCTGGTGTTGATGCATTTATAACCAGATGCCAACCCTGAAATCCCCAGTGTGCTTTCACTTGCCAAGACCCTGCAGCAGCTTTGTTTCAAAGTCGTGTCACTCATTGTTGAATGCCTTCTCCTTCTTCAAGGACTTTCTAGTCATTATGATGGCTGACATTGATTGACAGACCTGAGCTTTCCCTTAAATTTCCTGGGGCTGTGAGTACAGCCCAATTGCTGCCTGCATGCTTTCTGGGATGAGGGAGTGCCAAGTAGTTCCTACCGTCTTTAAAAATATCAGTGAGAAACCAAGCTAGTGTGAGGACAAGGGAGCTGCCTTGTAAAAGCTTCAAAAGAAGGAATGAAAACAGAAAACTTTTATATTGATATTGTCAAGATGTTGTAAACAAAGTCCAACATGATAAACTGAAAAAATTATTGACAGTGAACATGACATACAAGATGTTAAGCCCATGATGTATAAAGAGGTTCAGATCAAGGAGGGACAGTCCTATGGAAACTGGGCTGAGTATATAATGGAATCCACCAAGGAAGAAAGCAGAATGACCAATACACGTATACAGAGATTCTTTTTTTTTTTACTGACGGAGTTTCGCTCTTGTTGCCCAGGCTGGAGTGCAGTGGTGCCATCTTGGCTCACCGCAACCTCCACCTCCTGGGTTCAAGCGATTCTCCTGCCTCAGCCTCCCGAGTAGCTGGGATTACAGGCACATGCGCCACCATGCCCAGCTAATTTTGTATTTTTAGTAGAGACGGGGCTTCTCCGTGTTTGTCAGGCTGGTCTTGAACTCCCGACCTTAGGTGATCTGCCCACCTCAGCCTCCCAAAGTGCTGGGATTACAGGCGTGAGCCACCACTCCCAACCAAGATTCTTTTTTAGTAATCAGCGCAGGGCAAACAGAACAATCCATAAGCCAGTTTTTGTTTATCATATTATAAAAATGTAAAGATTGATGATCTCTACCCTGCACACAAAATGAGGCGAACAGGTGCTCTTGAAATACTGTGGGTGTGAATACAAGTTGACCGAGCCAGCATCTCCACTGCCACCGCCGTCGTCCGGGCTGCTGTGGGATCCAACCTGAACTATTAAAAATGCCCTAGAACCTTTCTTGCCCAAACCTCACCTGGACACAAACCAGACTCTACTACGCTGCTCCTTAAAACCCTTCAGTAGTTTATGCTCTGCTGGGTTTGAACACAGGCCGTCACTTGTGCCTCAAGGCGCTGTGCGGCCTCGTTCCCGTTTACCTCTTAATCCTCGTATGGGCCACTTTCCGTGTTACCTTGCCCTTCAGCCACACGGGTCTCAAGCAGCTCAGTTCCTCAGGGGTGCTGCTGCTCTCTTTTTTGCCTGGGGCCTGTGCAGTTTGTGGGTGTTTTCCCCTGGAAAGTCCCACCTCACCTCCGCAACTTTTCAACCTTCCAGTCTCAGCTCAAGTGGCACTTCCATAGGAAGCTGTTTAAAATAAAAACCCAATAAAATGGTCATGGCTAAATATGTTATTGTACAACCACACACTGGAATACTTGGTAGCTGTTTGGAAAAAAGATAAAATACTTGTATTTTTCCTGGGTAAAGAGGTTCCTGATATGTTACTAATTGAAAAAGTTTGAGAATAATTTGTATAGTTGGCTACCATAAAAATGTGTACCTTCATATGTTTGCGGTTACACACACACACACACACACACACACACACACAAGAATCTAAAAGGTTAGTCCTGAAGAGTAATTGGCTGCCTTTTAAGGAGTAGAATTTTGGGGTGAGAGAGGCTCACATTTTAAAAAATAACTTTATTGAGATACAGTTTTTATACAACTACATTTTTGTGTGTACAGTATTTAGCAAATGTTTATATCCAGGCAAACTGCATCTTAGGTTGATTCTGACCCCACTGTAGGAATGGTGGTGGCTGTTAGGGTTATTTTGGTTGTTTGCATAGTGACTTCTTAAACTAAATCTGCAGTCTGTCTCCCCGGGAGCATGCAGCAACTAATGTTTTGACTTAGGCCTTTTGGTTCTTTTGGTTGTTAAATTCTTGTTTTTATTTTTAAGCCTGTCTTCCTGAGTGCTGGCCTTGGCTTTGCATAGCTTAGCGGTCAGCCAGTGATTAGCCAGAGGTTGTGCTTCAACACACCTATTGTGTTTTTGTGACCTCCCTGGACATGGGGCTGGACAGGGAGCCCCTGTATGGAAACACCATGGGCACTTGGGGCTTTTCAGTGGCTGCTGCAGCATGGAGCTGGGAAGGAGGGAGGTGGAAGCCGCCCTGTGTGGAAACACCATGGGCACTTGCTGTTCTTACTGAGATTCCGTTTTTTTTTTCTTAAATAAGGACTTCTCAATCTGTTCTGTAATTTTGGTGAATTTCCAAAGTTCTAAAATGGTTGCTTTTGACAGTTTATCCAGTTTTATTATTGCTCCTGGGGGAGAGATTTTGCCGAGCTCTTCACTGTGGCATTCCAGAAGTCTGGATAATTCATGCTTGCATTTATTTACTGTGAAAAATTTCTTGGTAAATTGTTTCACCTGCTGGCATTATCCAACTTCCTGTTGATTTTCGTTGCACAGGTTCCAGGATGCCAGTGCTAGGGTGGTTGTATAACTCTAAATCATAGAGATCCTTTACGCATTACTATGGCCTCTATACTAAAATCAGGGAGATTCTTGACTCAGTTCTATTATCAGAAGGGTATAAGGACATGTCACCCACCATCCCTCCCAGAAAATACGATGCATCTTTGGAGGTGGGAGCAGAAGAGATTATCCCACTGGCCTCCCTGGCCCGGTTCACTTTGCAAATTGCTGAAAGTTAACGGCTTAGGACTGCTTTCATCCTGGTTTTCCACTCCAAGGTAGGCAATGGAATTGCTTGATTGTTAGGCGTCGTTCAGACTTTGCTTGTCACATGGAGAAGATTTGAGTCTTAATTGGGAACCTGGCAGAGGCTTTGAATACCCAGGTTCATGTTTCTAACATATACCTCACTTTGCCTCAGCTAGGTCACGAGCCCAGAGCTGCTTCTCTGGCTGTTGCTGTTGTCTCGCTACCCTTAGCTGCCTCCTTTATCCTCTTATCAGCTGCAAAGATTACTGTGAGCCATGAGTGTCCTTTAATGTGGTTATCTTTATTATTGAGTTTACTGTTTTTTATCTGAATCAATGTGCCACTTTCCCTACTTAACCCTAATTACTGTCCTAACATTGACCCAGCCACCAGTACTACGGATACCCTAGCTTTATGCTTACCTATTTTATCCATAAAATGATATTCAGAGCAGCCTGGGCAACATAGTGAGACCCCGTGTCTACCAAAAAAAAAAAAAAGCTGGATATGGTGGCACACACCTGTAGTCCCAGCTACTTGGGAGGCCGAGGTGGGAGGATCGCTTGAGCCCAGGAGTTCGAGGCTGCAGTGATCCACGATTGCAGGCCTGCACTCCAGCCTGGGCAACAGAGAGAGATCCTGTCTCAAAAAAAAAGAAAATCTTGAGTGCCCTTCTCATGCTCCAGTTTTGGATTCGGTGGTCTAATCCTTGCATTTTCTTACTGCAGGCCTTGATGACAGGGAGCCTCCCTGGCTTTGTTGATGTCATCAGGAACCTCAATTCTCCTGCGCTGCTGGAAGACAGTGTGATAAGACAAGCAAAAGCAGCTGGGAAGAGAATCATCTTTTATGGAGATGAAACCTGGGTTAAATTATTCCCAAAGCATTTTGCAGAATATGACGGAACAACCTCATTTTTCGTGTCAGATTACACAGAGGTCAGTTTTATCATGCTGGAATATCATACTAGATAGAGCCTGGCGTCACCATTACTTAGTGAGAGAGGATACTATTTTGTATGTGGTTTTATTCATTTATTGGGAGCACTACAGGCAATTATAAAAATTATTCACTCGCATAATCAGTTAACAACCCACAGATACAAACCTGAAGCAGGTGTGAGCAGAGTTTTATGTAACCCAAAGCTTAGAACAGCTGAGTGCCACTGAGGGGCAGAGAGGATCAGGAAGGGCAACACAGCCAAGGGGCCTCCTGAGCTGAGTTGTGATGGGTGAGTGGGCACTCCCCAGGTGAGTAGAGCAGGCTGGTAGCACCTGCACATGGCACAGCTGTAGGACTGCACAGCCTGTTGGTTCTGCTACAGTAGAGCCTCATCGTGCCCTGAGGGCAGGTGGTGGACTGGGTGGGGCCTGGTCCTGAGGGGCTTTTCCAACAAAGATTAGACCTGCATGTTAGAAAGCAGACCCTGGAGCACACCAGCACATCTGCCTGGCGGGGACTGGCTGGGCTCACCTCCTAGTTGGCTGGGCCTTATGGAGCATCTGCAGTTCTGCTTACATTGATGTCCTATTCCAAAGCCGGGCTCTTTCCAGCAGTTACTTTACAGTAATGACTGAGTTTTCCCAATATATGTGGCATCATTAAGAAACACTTCTCTTCACAGCAGATTTTTTTAGTGTGAAGGAGGTGAGCTAGCTGAGGGGTCAGGGCTCACCAGACTGACATCTCTGTCTGGGGCTGATCAACCGCTAATCTCATCTCTGTGACATGTTTATTTCAGAAGTAAATGTGATCATTAAATGCTGTGTCTCTCTCTCCAAGAACTGCCTTCTCATAAGACACATGCAGATACCCTCAGCTTCACCATCCTGCTGGTTACTTTAGCTGTGGGCACTGTGATATCTTTAGTTCACTGCCCTTTACCCTTGGTTACCTCAGGACAACTTACGATCTATTTAACTTGCCCATTTGCTCACCTTTAGTTACGCCCATTAAGCAGTGACTCCACAGAGAAGTATTTTTGTCAGAACAACCCTTGCTCATTTAAATTACCTGTATAATATATTTGATCCGTAGCCTAGAAACATAAAAACAATGCTAGCAAATGTTTAATCTCATGCTAATGTTCATTTATTTGTTACAGAGATGGGGTCTTGCTATGTTGCCCAGGCTGGTCCTGAACTCTTGGCCACAAGCAGTCTTCCCACTTCAGCCTCCTCAGGGTTGAGATGACAGGCGTGAACTGCTGTGTCCAGCCTATTTATTTATTTTTAATGACCTAGATTTTGTTGTCTTTCACCTCCCCCAAATCCTGTTATCGGAATAAACCCCTAGATTTTAAGATAACTGTTGCCTTTTCTCCAGGGAATGAAGATCCAGGGAAATTAGGTGAGCTGTTTATACGTGTGTTTCCCCTTCAAAGGTGGATAATAATGTCACGAGGCATTTGGATAAAGTATTAAAAAGAGGAGATTGGGACATGTTAATCCTCCATTACCTGGGGCTGGACCACATTGGCCACATTTCAGGGCCCAACAGCCCCCTGATTGGGCGAAAGCTGAGCGAGATGGACAGCGTGCTGATGAAGATCCACACCTCGCTGCTGTCAAAGGTGAGCTTGCTGTCGTGAATTGTGTGGTGATGTAGTTTCGCTTGGATATTTCCTAGAATAAATACAACTATTGGGCTGGGCGTGGTGGCTCAAGCCTGTAATCCCAGCACTTTGGGAGGCCGAGGTGGGTGGATCACGAGGTCAAAAGATCGAGACCATCCAGGTCAACATGGTGAAACCCCGTCTCTACTAAAAATACAAAAAATCAGCTGGGCATGGTGGCGCATGCCTGTAATCCCAGCTGCTCAGGAGGCTGAGGCAGGAGAATTGCCTGAACCCAGGAGGCGGAGGTTGCGGTGAGCCAAGATCGCGCCATTGCACTCCAGCCTGGGTAACAAGAGCGAAACTCCGTCTCAAAAATAAATAAATAAATAAAACTATTATGAATTCAGCGGAGCCTGCGTGAACATCCACCATCACTCTGCCAGCCAGGGGCCCCGTGCCACGTGCAGCACCACCTCGGGGTCCATTGCACTGACTCTGTCTTCCCAGCAGCGCTGCAGAAGAGCAGGGCTCTTCCCTACCTATGTACGCATTCATTTGACTAGTATCTCCTGAATGCCTTCGGAATCACTCTTTCCATCCACGCATTTGAATGCGTCAGTGAAACACTCGATAATCCCTCGTAAAGCTCACTTTATAGCCAGGAGAGACGAGCGAGAAGCATGAGTGAATAAGTATGTGAGGAAGTGATGGGTGCTGTGGAAACGCGGAGGGCAGGAGGAGGGGCTTTCAACACCTTGTTGAGAGAAGTATTCCCTGAGGACGTGTGCAGGGTGAGTGGAAACTTGAAGGGAGGGAGGGGCAAACCATGTGGTCTCTGCAGGGGTGTTCCAAGCGGAGCAGCAGCGAGGCTCAGGCACAGCCTGCCTGGCATGTCCCAGAGCAGCAAAAGCTGTGTGGCTGGAGCCTCAGGGGCAGAGAAGCCTGGTGGGTGCCCCCCGTGTGGCTCAGAGCTCTTGCCTTGTGCTATGTGTTGTCTTCTCACAGCAGTCCTGTGAAAGAGATTCCATCTGTGTCTCCATTTGACAGATGAGGCGACTAAGGCACAGAGTATCATGTGTCCAGAGTCTCACAACTTGGCAGTGGCAAAGGCAAACCAGATACAAACCCTTTGCCATCAGAGGGCAAAATGCAACCTGCTGTGTTCCATGAGCCGCCTACAATTTTGTGAACTTCATTTGTGACATTATTTGACTGTGACCCTGTGATCTGGCTATGAGCTCATAGGAAAAAAACCTCATTGAGAAAAATTTCATTGAGAAAGAGCTATAGCTCTATAAAGTAAAGCTAAAACCTAAAATTGTCTTCCTAAGATAATGTGCTCTCTTCATTCTGAGCGCAGTTGAAATATTTTTCCTTTGCCTTACAGGAGAGAGATATGGCTTTACCCAATTTGCTGGTTCTTTGTGGTGATCATGGCATGTCTGAAACAGGAAGTCACGGGGCCTCTTCCATGGAGGAAGTGAACACACCTCTGATTTTAATCAGTTCTGCGTTTGAAAGGAAACCTGGTAAAAATTTAGGAATGGCAACATTTGGAAACTGTGGTATATTTGTTTTCTGTAGGTTTTAATTTTGAAAACCCCTTTTTCAGAAACTCCATAAGGTTGACATCCCCTGAGCAATGTGAGAATGAAAAGTGATGGGACGAAAGGCTTTGGGGATCTGAAGTTTACATTCTTTCCCCTAATCCTTAAAATACAAATAGTCTTCATCAGAGTTTTCTTGTGTGAATGTTGCTGCCTGGATATCTGGAACTGTTGAAGAAAAACTGCCAGTAGCTCAGAGACATCCAGACAGCATGTATGAACTGAAGGAAACATGAATATCTTGGCTTTTTAAAAAAAAGTTTGCATTATTGAAAACCGTATACTGGACTGCAGCATCAACAAGAGTTACGGGACCCAGCCAGAGCGGGACAGACAGGGGACCCATCTCTCAGTATTGAAACACGCCCCAGACGTACACCCACCCCACTTTGACCTGCGCCCTGATTTTGCCCCCAGCCTACCCACTCTGCCCTCGTGGCCTTGCTGTCCCGTCAGTGCCCTGCCTTCCACTTGCGCCTGGCTTCTGCTGCCACACTTCGCCAGCTCACTCCGGGTGAGCTCAGCATTTGAGCATAGCAGACACTTTCAGGCGCTGCTCTCGCTGACCCTATGGCACTCTCAGTGCTGCTTGTCCTGTAGTTTCTGGGACCTCACCTCTTTCTGATTTTCCTCCTACCTCTTTCCTTTGCTATCTTAACCTCTTTGCTGACCTAGTTTCCTTTCCCGGGTCTTTTACTGGACTGCCTTCTTGTTTCATTCTGCATTTGCCCTGGAGATATGGTCTCATCTACTTCTGTGGTTGTAAATGCCATGGATAGGCTCCACACTGGTCAGATTTTTGTCTCTAGCTGACCCCATTCATCATAAAGCATAGTTTATCATTGCAGACTTATTGGTGGGATTTTGTCTGTTTACGGGATTCGTGTAATGTCTGCCTCCACGTTACACTTTAAGCCAGATGGATGTCTACTTTGTTCACTATTTGCCTAGAACCTGAAACATTGCCCAGCACATGACAAGTGCCAACACATATTTGCTGAATGAATGACCCTTTCACTTAAGTGAGAATTAGTTGGGGAAGCATCTCCGCTTGACCTCTTCTGTCTTTTTATGAAGCCTCTTCATCTAGAACGTCTGACCTGAGCAGAGATGGGAAGGGTGGGGCCAACTGCGTGTGTGCAGGTTGCCTGCAGGTGCTGCTAACATCACCAGCTTCAGTCCTGAGAGTTGGTTCTGTTTTGTTTTCTGTATTCTCATCACGCTCATTTTATGAGCCAGGACTGTGCTCTGGTGTCTTCACAGCATTGGGCAACCATCATCATAGTCAATTTTACAACATTTTCCTCACCTCAGAAAGAAGTCCCATACTCTTCTGCAGTCACCACCCCAGTCTCCTCCCTCCCCCAGCCCTGGGTAATCATCATCTTTGTCTGTAGATTTGCCTCTTCTGCATGTTTTGCGTAAACGGAACCATATGGTCACGTGTGCCTGGCTTCTTTCATGTAGAATACTGTTTTTCCAGGTTCATAGTTACAGCACTTATCAAGACTGCATTTTTGTTTGTTTGTTTGTTTTGTTTTTTTTTTTTTTTGAGACAGAGTTTCCTTGTTCTGTCACCCAGGCTAGAGTACAGTGTTGCAATCTCGGCTCACTCCCTGCAGCTTCCGCCTCCCAGGTTCAAGTGATTCTCCTGCCTCAGCCTCCTGAGTAGCTGGAACTACAAGCACGTGCTACCACACCTGGCTAATTTTTTGAATTTTTAGTAGAGATGAGGTTTCACCGTGTTGGCCAGGGTGGTCTTGATCTCCTGACCTATTGATCCACCTGCCTCGGCCTCCCAAAGTGCTGGGATTACAGGCGTGAGCCACCGCGCCCGGCCAAGACTTCATTTCTTTTGTTACCACATAGAGTTCCATTGTGTGGATTTAACATACTGATTTACCATTCATCAGTTGATGGACATCTGGGTTGTTTCCACTTTTTGCCTATGATGAATGATGATGCTGTGATCATTTGTGTACAACTTTTTGCATGGATGTATATTTTCATCTGGGGTCGTTTTCTTATTCCCATATAGCTGTGCCCCCATTCGCTACCTCTATGCTGTTATTGTCAAATACATTGCTTTTCTATATGTTATAAACTGATGACGTGATTATATTGATATGGATTTATATAATTTTAAATCAGGAAAGAAAAAAATGCTTTTATACTGTGTTTCATAATTATAAAATTACCTTTACTGATGCTCTTTGCTTTTTTGTGTTCTGAAATTTAATCTGGAGTCACTTGCTTTCAGCCTGAAGAATTTTTTTTAGTATTTCTTGTAAGGCAGATTTGCTAGCAAAGAATTTTTTGTTTTGAAAAACTCTGGGATGTCTATTTTGTCTTCTTTTTGGAAAGACGGTTTCGCCGACTGTAAGACTGGGCTGACGCTTTACCTTCGGCACTTTGGATATGCTGTCGTACTGCCTTCTGGGCAACCTTTAATCTAATTGGGTTTCCCATTTCTTTGTCTTTTAGCATTTTTACTATAATGGATTTGTATTTTGTATTTTTTCAACTTGGAGTTCATTGGACTTCTTGCATGTGTAGGTTAATGTGTTTCATCAAATTTGGAAAATTTTCTCTCTGTTCTTTGGATTGCATAATCTCTGTTAGTCTGTCTTTAAATGGCTGGTTCTTTCTTCTGCATATTCAAGTCTATTATTGTTAAACCCCTTTAGTGAATTTTCTGTTTCAGTTATTTTTTTAACTCTAGAGCTTCATTTGATGCTTAAAAAAATTTTTTTTTCTATCTCTTTATTGATATTCTCTATTTGAAGAGAAATTCTCTATTTGATGAGGGAAACATGAGCAGGGGAAGACTAGAGGGAGATGACATAACCCTCCATCTGGAGTTGGGGGAGAGGGAGCTCTGTGTTCTAGGCTGCACCTGCCAAAGGGAAGCTTCTGCACCACGGGGAGGGAGGGTGGGAGCAGGCCATGGCTCAAGGTCTCCAGATTCCTATGCTTCTTACCAAGGCCTAGTGGATTTTCTTGAATAAAGATTTCTTCATTTGTTCTGTACCTCTGGACAATTTCCAAAGACTGTGAATGGTGGTAGGGGTGGTTTTAAAATTTTTTACCATTTATGCTTGTTTCATTGATGAGCAAGTTCACGGAGCTACTCTTAACATGATTCCCAATAGTTCCGAAGGATTTTTATCCTAAAAATGCACGCAACTTTGGGAGGCCGATGTGGGCGGATCATGAGGTCAGGAGATTGAGACCATCCTGGCTAACATGGTGAGACTGTGTCTCTACTAAAAATAGAAAAACTTAGTCAGGTGTGGTGGTGGGCACCTGTAGTCCGAGCTACTCAGGAAGCTGAGGCAGGAGAATCACTTGAACCTGGGAGGCGGAGATTGCAGTGAGCTGAGATGGCACCACTGTACTCCAGCCTGGGCAACAGAGCAAGAGTCTTTCTTTAAAAAAGGGGGGCCGGGCGCGGTGGCCCACACCTGTAATCCCAGCACTTTGGGAGGCCGAGGCGGGTGGATCACAAGGTCAGGAGATCAAGACCATCCTGGTCAACATGGTGAAACCCCGTCTCTACTAAAAATACAAAAAATCAGCTGGGCATGGTGGCGCGTGCCTGTAATCCCAGCTACTCAGGAGGCTGAGGCAGGAGAATTGCCTGAACCCAGGAGGCGGAGGTTGCGGTGAGCCAAGACTGCGCCATTGCACTCCAGCCTGGGTAACGAGCGAAACTCCGTCTAAAAAAAAAAAAAAAAAAGCATGCAGATTTTTGATTTTTGTTAGGTTTCTTATGTTAATAAAAATAAATGTTAAAGTAGTGTTTGTTATTTTTAAAATAAGCAGTTTTGGATTGTGTAGTGAGTGACTTCAGAGACCCTCAGCCTATCACTGCCCACTCCCAGATTGCTCACCTCCCCATGTGAGCAGCACAGGTCTGGCCACGCCAGAGTCAAGGGGGGTGGGAAGGAGAGCATGCCTGTTCCTGGATGTCCACCAAGGGCAGAGCAGGTCTGTTGTAATTTTCGCCTTTTGCTGCTGGAATGTTTGACCATGTTTGTTGTTCTGTCCCCAAGCCAGCAGTGGTGCCTGGCACCTAGTGGATGTTTTATCATTTGTGGATCAAATGTTTAAGATTCTGCAGGCGAGCCAGTGGAGGTGGAGACGGGTGAAAGGATGCTGCTGGCCGGTGGGCATGGTTTTCTGAAGTCCTGGAGCTTCTTTCCTAGCCCCTCGTTGTCTGTGGGGCACAATCCACTCTATCATGTGGCCTGCCCTGTGTTTGTATTTCTGAATTATAGTTATTAAAATAGTACGTGCAGGCAAGAACTGGTCACAGACAAATCAAAGAAGCAAATCAGGAGGCCAAAAATAGACTTTAGTGTATCTGGGGATTTGGTGATAAAGGTGGCATCTCAGATGAGTGCAGAAAAGACATGGTGTTTGATTAATGATGGCAGTACCCCTGGCTGACCTTGTGGAGAAAGGTAATGCCAACTCTCTGCCTTACTCTTTACAACAATGTCAATCCAGATCAAAACATGTTAATGTCTTTAAGTTACTCAGGTGTGGAAAATTTTAGACACAGAACAGTAGTCACAGTCGTGTAATAAACCCCCAAGTCCAGCTTCACCAGTTATTGGCCAGTTATAGCCTATCTTCTTTCATCTGTGCCCACGCTCATTTCCCTTTTCCTTCATTTTTTGGAAGCAGGTCTCTAAAAGATAGGTGCTGTTTAGCCCCATAATCTTGATACCCTTATCACATTTTAAAATAGTGTTGATTCCTTAATATCATCAAATAATGTTCATATCTCCAATATCTGTCTCTCTCTCTTTGCTGTTTAGTTTGTTTGAATCAGGTACAAATAAGATCTATACTTTCTGACTTGTTTATGTGTCTCTTAAGTCTCTGTTAATTCATAGTGCCCCCCCAAAACTCTTATTTTACTGCAGTTTGCTTGTTGGACATTTCCTTTTTTTTTTTTTTTTTTTGAGACGGAGTTTCGCTCTTGTTACCCAGGCTGGAGTGCAATGGCGCGATCTCGGCTCACCGCAACCTCCGCCTCCTGGGTTCGGGCAATTCTCCTGCCTCAGCCTCCTGAGTAGCTGGGATTACAGGCACACGCCACCATGCCCAGCTAATTTTTTGTATTTTTAGTAGAGACGGGGTTTCACCATGTTGACCAGGATGGTCTCGATCTCTCGACCTCGTGATCCACCCGCCTCGGCCTCCCAAAGTGCTGGGATTACAGGCTTGAGCCACCGCGCCTGGCCCGGACATTTCCTTCTTGAGACCTATAATCAGCTGTTTCTCCAAGATGCCCTGCTGCTTTTTAGTGGAAAGTGGTATTTCAAGACCACTGTCTCAGAGCTAGAGGAGCTCACTGATACTGGGTTGGTCATTGTTTCTAAACACAAAGAAGAAATTTTTTTTAAGATAAAGTGATCTTGTGTTTATATCAATACTTCTAGTCCACCTTCAAAACTGTAAAATTAAATTCTTAGGTCTTACATCTGTACTTTCTTCTTCCTAACTTTAATCTTGGTTGTCAACAACTCCAGATATGACAGAATCTCACATAATGACTCACTTGCTTTATCCCACAATAGACACACAACAGTCTCAGAATAATAAGCCAGCACTGCCACTACCAGCATGAGGGTCATAAGCAATTTAAGGTGGGTTTGTTTTTGGTTTTGTGTTTTATTTTTTTGTGTCAGCTCAAAGCACTTAATGTAAGAAAATACTACAAGAAAGAAGTACTGGAAGAAATGGCCACATTGCAGTGGAAGGTTCTTTCTAAGCATGATCAAGAAGCCATCATTAGAGAGTTGCCCAAGACATGATTAATAAATTTGACCAAATTAAAAAGAAAAATCCCCTACGACAAAAATGACCACAATCAAAGTACAACCTCCGCAGACTCACACCTGAGTGTCTAAAGACGCCTTGTGCACCACCTGTCCTGAGCAGCTGTGCTGGGCCCTCCCGGTGCCCTGCAAGAGTGTGTTGACCTTCCGTGGTGTGGAGCTGTTTGCTGTCTTTACAGATGAAAACACTCCGGCCAAGTTGACTTTCTCCTCCGAAATCATAGTGGAGGGTAGCAGAGCAGTGGCCTGGGCCCATTGTGCTGACTTCACAGCCATTCTCTTTGCAAGGAGGTAGTAGGATGGCCACTCACTGTTGGTGCTTGAAGAGTTTTAGCCTAGCTAGGCAGATGTCTAGCTTGTCCAAGCTGATGAGAGCACCTGGCCCAGCTGAACCTGCCTCATTCTGCCCTCCCCTATAGAAGCTCCCACAGCTCAGCAGCTGTGAAAGGTTCATTTTCTCCATAAGCATGTGTGCTCATAGAGGGCAGAGCATGGATGCTCCAGATCCAGAGGGGCAGGGCTGTCCGTGATCCCTCCCTCACTTCATTCTTGGGTTGGCTGTTGACCTTGTCAAAGTGACTGTCCCTCTGTGTCTGCTGGATCACCTGCTTCCTCTGTGTTCAGCCCGTGCTCCATAGCCCTCACTGTGTGGAACTCCACGTGTCTCTCTCCCAGCATACTGCAGGCTACTGAAGGAAAGACACTGTCCCTGGCGTAGAACGGGTTCAGTATCCATGCAGCAAGCAGCGAGGTGATTCCTGTACAATTCTGTGTTGAATGATGTGAAGAGACGGATCATTGGGCTTATGCTTCTGTGGAAGGTCTAATTCAAGAATGACTACCATCTTACACTTTCTAGAAGTCTGTTACTTAAAATATTTTCTTTTTCCTAGGTGATATCCGACATCCAACGCGTGTCCAGCAGACGGACGTGGCTGCGACACTAGCGATAGCACTTGGCTTGCCGATTCCAAAAGACAGTGTGGGGAGCCTTCTGTTCCCAGTCGTGGAAGGAAAACCCATGAGAGAGCAGCTGAGATTTTTACATTTGAATACGGTGCAGCTTAGCAAACTGTTGCAAGAGAATGTCCCGTCATATGAAAAAGGTCAGTCAGCAGCTCGTTTCTAAACTGTCAGAGTTGTGTGCTTCCAGGGAGCGAGTGTTTCTCCGATGTGTTTCTGTGGTATGCAGTTTGTTGCAGGAATATTTTGCCATCACCGCTCTTCAATTATACAGATTGTGTTCCTGTGTTTTCTTAGAACTTTTAACCATCACCATTGGCAACACCCTCAGACGCAGTTATCTAATTAAAGTTCTTTCATAAATTTATTCATTCAACAACTATTTACCAAGATCTTGTTATGAATGAGGGGCTGTTTCAGGCACTGGAGACAGAGCATTGAGCAGTATGAGGCTCCGCCCTCGTGGAACCTTCTAGCGGAAGGAGAGAAAAGGAATAGTGACAGATGTCCGGTGGTGATGAGTAACTTAGGAAAAGAGTCAACAGGCCTGGGGTGGGAAGTGAAGCAGGTGGGAGCCGCTGGCCATGTGGGAGGGCACATTACAGGCTGTGGGAGCAGCAGACAGGGTCCTCCATGGGCCCACATTCAGGGAATGGTCAGAGCGGGGGCCAACGTGGGGTGGGAGGGCAGAGGACATGGCATTGATATGCGAGGGCCCTTAGGCCCTGGAGGGGCTTTCACCTTCATTCTGAGTGAAACGGAGAGCTGCTGCAGGGTTGGTGAGAGCCAGAAGTCTTCCACTTGCATTTTCAAAGCCTGTCTCGGGTATCCTCATGGAGGATTCTGCTTTGTGCTGTCAGAGGAGACTAGTCAGGAGGCAGCGGCTGTACTTCTGTGAGAGGTGAGGGTGGCCAGGGCCCAGGCAGTGGTGGTGGAGAGGTGGTTGCATTCTGGATATATTTTGAAGATCATGAAGACAGGACTTGCTCGTGTGCTGAGATACTAGGTATGAGCAGAGCAGAGGCGTTAAGTAGGACTCCAGAGATTTCAGCTGAAAGCGAAAGAACAGAGTAGTCATTTCCTCAGGAGGGCATGACTTAGAAGGACCAGGTCTGCAAGGCATATGCTCGTGGGTGGGAGCGTTGGTGTCCAGGAAGCATGTGAAGAAGTCATTTCAGGAAGCAGGGTGTGGACAGCTGCCTCAAAGGCTGGTATTATTGATTAAAATCAGGAATGGAGAACCGAGCTTTGGATCTGGCCACGTGGGGTGATGAGTGGCTTTGTCAGATGGAGACTCGGAGAGGGCCTGGCTGGGGCTGGGGGGGGCAAGAACCGTAGGCAGCAGACACAGCAGCTCTAATGGGAGTTGGAGGTGGAGTCTGAGGTGGGTGTGGGGCCAAGAGAGGTGCCGGGGACAGGTGCAAGCTGGTAGGAAGGGTCCAGGAGAGGAACGTTTGTCTCCCTGGGACGTCTTCAGATAGTCGACTCTGACACAGCCACGTTCATCAGAGAATAACGTTTGGCACAGGGACTCCTTTGAGAGCCTGGAGGAAGTCTACTCCTATTCTGAGGCAGCTGTTAATGAGGTGTTGGCAGATTTCCCTACTGGAAGTAGCGGGATGCTATTACTACCAAATAGAGTGAACGCCCCCAAGTTTTCGCTGAGATGTAAACCAGCCTCCTAGAGGCGATTGTGGAAGACAAACCCTGCCAGCCAAGGACTGGTTGGGAACCAGCCATGGTGAGTGGTGAGAGGCCCAAACGAGCACCTGCTCTCACCCCGTGAGGTGGCCAGGTGGGGGACTTTGGGAACCATGAGGCCTGGCCATACAGACATTAGTCAAGACCAGGGACAACTGTGGCTTGTACTTTTGTTTTTTTCTAAAATAGTATGAGTTTGGTAGCTTTCACATATTGCTTGTATTGTCATCATGTCCTTTTTTCTATGCTAAGAGCAGTAAAAACACCAACAGCAGTGGAAGGGTTATTTGCCCGTTTCAGAAGTAGCGGCTGGGGGAGTTGGGAACTGCAGAGGATGTGGCAGGAACCAGCTTGTTAAATGAAGCAGGCGCCTCCCTTGACTGAAAGCATGGCCCGCATCTGTTACCCCCTTGGCGGCTCATTGTCTACACCACTGGGGGTCACATTTCCTAAAACAAAATGGGGTACATGTTCTGACACTGAAATACGTTTTAGAACCCATAGCCAGGCCCTATAGCCCTTTGGGGATGTCCATTCCGTTGGAGGTGCCATAGCCAGGCCCTGCAGCCCTTAGGTGATGTCCAGTCCGTGGGAGGCGCCACAGCCACAGCCCTTCGGGGGCATCCAGTCCGTGGGAGGTGCCACAACCGCAGCCCTTCGGGGGCGTCCAATCCGTGGGAGGTGCCACAGCCAGGCCCTGCAGCCCTTCGGGGGCATCTCATCCATCGGAGGTGTCGTGCCCACCCGGCTCTCTGTGTAGTGGGACCGGCTTTTTCTTGCCTCTGGACTTTTGCACATGCTGTTCCCATCAACTCGATGCTCTTCCTACAGTAGTTTGCCTGGTGAATTCCTGGGCACCCTTTACATTTCAGCATAAGCAAGACCTTCCTGATGTTTACGGGCCCACTCCCAATCTAGAATCAGTTTCTCCCCATTACCAAAAATCCCTCACTGGTACCTCTACTTTTGCTTCATAGGAAACTTCTAATTACAAATGTAATGCAGTCACGGTAATTACACGTGTGTGTGCACGCGTGCCTGTGAGTCCTACTGGCTCCAAGCCCCATCAGGCAGGGATTGCGCCTGCTTGCTCGCCATGGTGTGTCTTTCCCTTGGTACAGTGCCTGGCACGTAGTCCATGCTCAGTGGATATTTACTTCTCTGCATGCACAGATGCACCCCCCACAGCTCGGCAACTTCCTGATAGAGAGGCAGTGGGGTGTAGACACAGGTACCCTTGTCTCTGTAACTCTGGGGTGGTGGGGTGTGGACCCAGGCGTCCCCCACTCCGGGGTGGTGGGTGTAGCAGTGAAGGGTGCCAGCCCTGGAACCACACTGCCTGGGTTTCGTTTGCAGCTTTTACTCACTGGCGCTGTGACTCAGCCTCTATGTCTCAGTTGTTTCCTCTGGAGAACAGTTACGATGCTCATCCCTGCCTCATAGGGTCGCTAGAGAGGTGAAACAAGTGAGCCCTGTAGAGTGTGCTGGCCACTGGCACCTGGTGCAGGTTCACCTGATGCCAGCAGCAATGGGGTGGGTCTGCAGGCAAATGAGTTCACGGTCAGGGACCTGGTGCTGGCAGCAGTGGGGTGGGTCTGCAGGCGTATGGGTTCACGCTCAGGGCCCTAGTGTCACAGCAACCTGGACCTCAGTGCCTCAAGCTCCTATGGAGCTGTTTGCTGTGATGACCGCAGGCCTGGGGCATGCAGAGCCACGGGTGGGGTGAGCCTGCCAAGAGGCACAGCTGAGACCCTCCTCGGCATGGCTCTTTTGGAGCAGGGAGTGTATATCAAACCCTGGGGGTCTCGAGAAGCAAGTTCTCGCTTTGCAGACCAGTCTAATCACAAGAGGGTGTGGTCCAGGCAGAGCCTCACGCATCAGCCACTCTGGAAAGGAAGGACATCAGCTGTGCCCATGAGCAGCATGGCACTGTGGTCTAAAAGCGAGTGCCATAGCAGGGGGGCAGGGCTTCCATCCAGAGGCAGGGTGTCCGTGCTCCCAGCAAAGCTCGCCTTTGTGAGCAGAGAGGGCTGGAAACTGCTCTCCCTTTCCAAAGAGGACACGAGGAAGGGCCTAGGCTGTGGAATGGGGGATGTTAGAGCTCGGGAGGGGCAGTCTGCATTGGGGAAGTGCGTGTGGCGGAAAAGGGTCAGGCCACTGCCTGCCCAGGCCCTAAACAGTGCTGTAAGGGTGAGAAAGATTCTACAAAACTTGACTGTTCACATAATGCATTTCAGAATTGTTTTTGTATTGCATGTTGACAAGAGGGAGAGAGTGGAAAGAGAGAACAGGGAGGAAGAAGTAAGAGCAACGAGACCAGGCAGCACAGGGGGTGGTCACTGTCGTCTGTGAGGGGTGCGCCAAGGACTGAGGCCTGTATCGCCGGAGGGTGGATGGATGCACGTTGGCAGCTTCCCCGGCTTTACGGGGGCCATTGTGCACCCCTCACCCGAAGGAATGGTTTATCTTCATTAAGTGTCAGGTCTAAAAGGTTATGGCTTTGCCATGTGCCATGAATAAATGAATACTTTGAGATTATGTGTGTATATATATGTCCATGGTGTGTGTACATGTAACCTTTCTGTCTTGTTAACAGATCCTGGATTTGAGCAGTTTAAAATGTCAGAAAGATTGCATGGGAACTGGATCAGACTGTACTTGGAGGAGAAGCATTCAGAAGTCCTGCTGAACCTGGGCTCCAAGGTTCTCAGGCAGTACCTGGATGCCCTGAAGACGCTGAGCTTGTCCCTGAGCACACAAGTGGCTCAGTACGACATGTACTCAATGATGGTGGGGACGGTCGTGGTCTTGGAGGTACAGATGCTCACACAGTCATGGCTCAGGTGTTGCATTGATTTGATAACTCAGCCAAATAGTTACACTTTTAAAGATATAGATTGGTGTTACTAAAGATGGGAAAACGTTGATTTTCTTGTTTAACTCTTTCATGGTATGTCCTTATTTGTGATAAGACAGAGTGTTGTCAGGTGTCAGTTGGCCTCACTCAGTATTGCTACAGGTGGTAAAAAAATTCTCGCCATGCATTTTGGGGCAGTTAATTAGTAGTAATCTTTCTGAGCTTTGTTTTCTGTTTTTACTGTTGGACAGCTGACACGAGAGCAGTAGCTGGGCTTATTTTTAAGTGGGTTTCTCCAAGCCCAGCAGTCTGTGGACGCTGCCGCTGCTTCTCTGTTCTAGGTTCTCACCCTGCTCCTGCTCAGCGTCCCACAGGCACTGCGTAGAAAGGCTGAGCTGGAAGTCTCACTGTCATCTCCTGGATTTTCTCTGCTCTTTTATTTGGTGATCCTGGTTCTTTCGGCCGTTCACGTCATTGTGTGCACCTCAGCTGAGAGCTCATGCTACTTCTGTGGCCTCTCGTGGCTGGCGGCAGGTGGGGTGATGGTGCTGGCCTCGGCGCTGCTCTGTGTGATTGTGTCCGTTCTGACCAACGTGCTCGTGGGTGGAAGACCCCAAAGGAAGGTATGTACAGTTGGTTCCTGGGAATGTGACATGGTCCTTCTGCTCAGGCTGTTCTTGTTACTTCAGGCTGCGTTTCATTTACCAGACATTGGTTGAACACCTGGTGTGTGCCAAGTGCTGGCAGTGCCCTCGAAAGGGGATGGCAGGGAGGACTTGGGGCAGCTTATCCCAGGCCTCTGGGTGTCATTCAGATCTGTGCCGTTGGGGCAGACACCTTCATTCTTGGCTGGAAGGAGAGGTTCCTGCAACTGTTGCAAAGGTGATTGGGAAGAGCTGCCGGTCACAGAGGAATGAGCCCCCCAATGAGGGGATGTGTGAATCAGACAGCCTCCCAGCAGAAGTGTGGGAGCTGCAGCCCAGGGAAGAAGAGACAGTCGGCCTGAACACCCAGGAGGGTCCAGAAGGAGACTTGGTCGTCCCACTCTTCCTGCTGTCTCTAGAATCCATCCTGCCTCATCAAGTCCAGATTTCTTTCCAAGGCTGACGTTTTCTATTGGCCTGGGACAAGGCTAAGACTATTCTTCATCTTTGGCCTGGGACACCTTCATTCATTAGCTGGGGAGTAATGGCGAGGCAGTGAGGAAGAGGTGGATGGTCGCACACAGATCCACAGAGCCCAGGATCCGGGGACCCACGGCAGTGGCAGCAGGCCTGTGAGCCCGACAGCAACCCTGCACAGCCCCCATCCCCGCTTACCATGAGCTGTCAGAGGCCTGTGCTGAGTGACCAACTCCAACCCTGGGCAGCCCCCATCCCCGCTTGCCTTGAGCTGTCAGAGGCCCGTGCTGAGTGACCAACTTCAACCCTGGGCAGCACCCATCCCCACTTGCCTTGAGCTGTCAGAGGCCCGTGCTGAGTGACCAACTTCAACTCTGGGCAGCACCCATCTCCTCTTGCCTTGAGCTGTCAGAGGCTCCGTGCTGAGTGTCTGGCTGAGACACTCACATCAGGCCACAGGCTTCCTCGGAGCCAGGATGATCTGTGCCCATGTTTGCACCTCAGGCCTATCTGGGCTCAAGCTCTCTCTCCTGCTATTGAATTAGTACCTAGCTGCATGCAACAGATAGTTATCAAAAGAATAAATGTCAATAATTGAGTCCTCTTCTTTAATTTTGACTGCTTTAAGTTAGTATATTTAAGGGATAGTACTGCCAACTTAGTCATTTCAACAGAACTAACCATTTTAGTGGAAACTTTCTGGATTTCTGGAATATTCATGGAGAAATTTGAGGTCTGGTTTGGTGGGATATATTCTTGCGGTTCTTTGGTTTCAAGGAGCAGGAACTGGCGACACCCATCTGAAGACCTAGGCTCTTCAAGAACATAGAAGCGGGAGTGTGGAGGGCCAGGGCCAGGAGCATCTGGCAAGCTCTTTGGGCTCCCATCACTGCCCAGAGGGTTCAGACCATTTTTAGTCTTTGTCACTTGGCTTGGGATTTGCAGTCCAATGTGAGAACAGCTGGCTGACTATGCTGTCTCCGTGTCCACTTGTCTGGGGTGAGGGCATCTCAGCTTCTGCAGGCTGTATCCTGGGCGGAGGGGCTGTCCCCAGGCTCTGTCCCAAGGGGAGGGTCCCGTCCCCTTGTCTGGGGTGAGGGCATCTCTGCTCCCGCAGGCTGTGTCCTGGGCGGAGGGGCTGTCCCCGGGCTGTGTCCCAAGAGGAGGGTCCCTGCCATTGGAGTAGAAGGGGCTGTTCCAGGGTAGAGGCCTGGGTATTGGGTGTGAGGAACAGCAGGTGTGTCCAGGGCATCCTCTGCTGTGAGCAAAGACTTTACATGCAGCAAGATGTGTGTAATTGTCAGACTCTCTTACAAAATAACCTTTCTCTTTTACAGAACCCCATTCATCCCAGCTCAAGATGGTCAGAGCTAGACCTTCTTATTCTGTTAGGGACAGTGGGCCACGTCTTGAGCCTGGGTGCCAGCAGCTTCGTGGAGGAGGAGCACCAGACCTGGTACTTCCTTGTAAATACCCTGTGTCTAGCCCTGAGCCAAGAAACCTACAGAAGCTACTTTCTGGGAGATGACAGCGAGCCTCAGTGTGGCCTCCATGTGGAACAAGGGCTCAACGGCATGGCAGCAGCGTGGCAGGGTGGGCCTGGCTGTGACGTGCTGGAGCGAGGCAAAGGCCATGGCAGCCCCTCTCCCTCCGAAGTGCTCCAAGGCAGCGAGAAGTGGATGGTGCTGGCCAGTCCATGGCTCATACTGGCCTGCTGCCGGCTGCTGCGCTCCCTAAACCAGACAGGTGTGCAGTGGGCCCACCGGCCCGACCTTGGCCACTGGCTCACCAGGTGAGAGCAAGGGCCCATGGCCACGGGCCAGACTTTCTACAGCTAACTGGTCACCTGCCAAGCTCTTCTTTTTCTAAATTGAGGCCATTTTTCATATTAAGAATGGGATAGTATTTGAGCTCTGAAGAAATGGGAAAATACACTAAAACCCATGAATCGGTGTTGAAAGGAGAATTTATTTGGGGGCTAGCCTAATAGGTTTGATTTATTAGTGCTGAACCACTGTAACTGTTCATGATTGAAACTTGTAAATGTTTCAATGATCATTATGTAGTAAAGCTGTCATTGGGGGTCAGGCTTGCTCTGGACGCCCTGTCTGTGCCCGGGCTCTGTGCCCCCACCCATCACTTAGCGTCTCCCTGTGTCAGGATGTTCCTGCGTTGCTACAAAGAAATACCTGAGGCTGAGTCATTTATGAGGAAAAGAGGTTCACTTTGGCTCTCAGCTCTACAGGAGGCACGGTGTCGGCATCTGCTCCTGGAGAGGCCTCAGGAAACTGAGTCACGGCGGAGGGCAGAGCGGGAGCCAGCACATCGTAGTCAGGGCAGGAGCAAGGGAGGGTTGGGGGAGGCGTCAGGCTCTGTTACACACCAGCTCTGTTGTAAACTACCAGAGCGAGAAGGTACTGATTACCGTGAAGGTGGTACCAAGCCATTTATGAGGGATCTGCCCCCATGACTGGCTTACCTCCAACACTGGAGGTCCAATTTCTCTTTGTCTTTTGAAACGGAGTTCACTGTGTCGCCCAGGATGGAGTGCAGCGGCACGATCTCTGCTCACTGCAGCCAACCTCTGCCCTCCCAGTTTCAAGCAGTTCTTCTGTCTCAGCCTCCCAAGTAGCTGGGACTGCAGGCGCCCACCATCATGCCTGGCTAATTTTTGTGTTTTTAGTGGAGATGGGGTGTCACCATGTTGGCTGGGCTAGTCTCAAGCTCCTGACCTTAACTGATCCACCCACCTTGGCCTCTCGGTGCTGGGATTATAGGTGTGAGCCACTGCAGGTGTGGCCTGGAGGTCCAAATTCACTGTGAGATTTGCAGCGGACAAACGTCTAAACCGTGTCACTTCCCCAGACCCATATCCCACTGCTGATGCTCCCCAGGAGCAGGAAGGAGGGTCGGCCAGGCGAGGTGGGCACAGCCTCTGTGGGCTGGTTTTGCCCTTGGCTCCCCTACGTTCTCTCCATCGTCCCTTTTCTCTCTCCTCATCCTGAAGGGACAGAGCTGTGTGGGGGAGTCTTCAGCCACCTCCTGAGCCTTTCGCTGATAACTGGAAAACCGCCAGGAGAGTACAGCAAATCACGTAGCAAATCATTTCAAGCAAGGCTTGAAATAAGTAGAAGAAACTAGGACAGAAAAATAATTAAGATTTGCCTAGGCTTTAAATTTTAATTATCTGGCAGTGAAGACTTAGGAAAACCAAAGTAAAAGAAGAACAGCAAAATGAAACAGTATCTGCGGTGAGAGTAACAGACAAGGGTCGCGGTCTCATCACTGCAGAGACTCCTGTAAGAAATGCCTGCAGAAGGAAAAGAGAAGTGCCCAGTCCTAGTAATGAGGGGACTTCAGTTGAGTGACAGGGTGGGACTTCATACCTGTTGAGGCAGAGAAGCAGAACTGAATGATGAGACTCAGTCTTGGTGAGCATGGGAGGATTCCGGGGCCCATGTTAGCAGCACAGTTCTTTCAGAAGATACTTGTACATTTACATCAGAAGCTGCGAAATTACAGGTCCTTCTAATTAAGTAATTCTTGTGGGAGGCTAAGCGTTGGTAACCCAGGTCATCCCAGGTCACATTCCTCAGGTGTCTTCCTGCTGCCTGCCCACACGTTTCCTTTGCAGAGCAGCCCTGGAGAGGACTTTGGTTGGTCCCTGCCCCAGAGGTGAGGAAGCGGAGGGGAACGGGCTGGTGGGAGGTTGTGCTGGGCACGCCAGCATCGGAGTCACAGCCCAGCATGTAGCACAGCCAGGGGTGTCACGGAGCTCCGTGTCCCAGAATAGCACTGTTGACACCTCATTTCTTTCTTTTCTGGAAAATTAAAGCATCAGGAGAGGATTGGCTGGCTTTCCACCCTAGATGCAGGAGCCCCACCTTACCCACAGTTTTGCTTACCCGAGATCAACCGTCCGCTGAAAATAATACAGTAGTTTGAGACAGCCAACATTCATGTAACTTCTATGACAGTAGCAATTATATGGTTATAATTGTTCTACTTTATTATTATAAAAATCTAGAAGATTGTGTAAAAACACGTGCCATCTCAAAAGCAGCAATGTACAAACACCCAGGTGCCCCCTCCCGGGTGAGGCTCAGGACCCTGTGTGGCCCCAGTCTCCCCCTCCCATCCTGGGAGGCTTTGAAGTGGAAGTTGCAGTGAATGAAACAGAAGGGAGCCTGGCTTTCGCCGCCCTCACACTCAGGCCAGGGCTGGCTGGTGCTGCACTACCGGGACAGTCAGGACTTCAGTCCCTGCCCTCTGGAGAGCTGACAACCTCTGCACCATCTCCTCACTCAGGAGTGGGTGACAGCAAACCCCGTGAGAGGCCAGGTGGCTCTAGGGTTGTATTGTGCGTTACTGAGTTAGTGGGAGAAGGCGGGAGAGAGGACATGAGCTGGTAGAGGCAGGGCTGCCCCTGGAGAGGTACCAGGAGACAGAAGCCTTTTTCTATCTGTCACTGCTTGGCCTCTGGACATCCGGATCTGATGATGGGAGACCCATATGTGAATGAAAAGTGAGAGTTCAAGTTGACTGTCTTTTTTTTTTTTTTTTTTTAATAAGGTCTCACCATGTAGCCCAGGCTGATCTCAAACTCCTGGCCTCAAGTGATCCTCCCACCCCGGCATGCTAAAGTGCTGGGATTGCAGGTGTGAGCCACCACACCCCACTGAGGTTGACCATGTTTTATTTGTTGTATTTTAAGAACCTTTGTGGCTGGGTACAGTGGCTCATGCCTGTAATCCCAGCACTTCGGGAGGCCGAGGCAGGTGGATCACAAGGTCAGGAGTTTGAGAACAGCCTGGCCAACAGAGTGAAACACCATCTCCACTAAAATTACAATAAATTAGCAGGGCATGTTGGTGGCTGCCTGTAATCCCAGCTATTCGAGAGGCTGAAGCAGAAGAGTTGCTTGAACCCGGGAGGCAGAGGTTGCAGGGAGCCGAGATCATGCCATTAAATTCCATCTCAAAAAAAAAAAAAAAAGCCTTTGAAAATAAAGATGATTTCATTTAATTTTTGGTTTTTGGGAAAATGCTATTTTTAATACAGTTCTTTGGAAGCCACTGGGTGTTGATTGATCTCATCGCTGTTTGGTGGTAATGTTGGCATTTTCCATTTCATTTCAGCTCTGATCACAAAGCCGAGCTCTCTGTCCTGGCTGCCGTCTCCCTCCTCGTAGTTTTTGTGTTGGTGCAGAGGGGGTGCTCCCCTGTGTCCAAGGCTGCCCTGGCACTGGGGCTGCTGGGCGTCTACTGCTACCGGGCGGCCATCGGGAGTGTACGGTTTCCCTGGCAGCAGGACAGCAAGGACATTTCCAAGTAAGTGCGTGGGTGTCGCGGGTGCTCGTAGATTCGCTTTCATCTTGTTTTTTTTTTTGAGACGGAGTCTCACTCTGCAGTGCACTGGCGCGATCTCGGCTCACTGCAGCCTCCTCCTCCCGGGTTCAAGTGATTCTCCTGCCTCGGCCTCCTTAGTAGCTGGGATTACAGGTGCGTGCCACCACACCCGGCTAATTATTTTATTTTTAGTAGAGATAGGGTTTCACCATGTTAACCAGGGTGATCTTGATCTCCTGACCTGGTGATCCACCCTCCTCAGCCTCCCAAAATGCTGGGGTTACAGGCGTGAGCCACCGCGCCCAGCCCCCACTTTAATCTTTTATCACCTGAGAAGACCATGTCAGTCTTCAGAGCACTGAGTTTGGTGTCTGTGAATTGTGATTGTGTCAACAGCTACTGGAGTGTTAACTAAGAAAACTTCAACCAGCCTCGTTGTTAGCACTTTTTATGTTTTACGTTTAGGAGAGAAATCACTTGGAAGTAAGATTTTTTAAATTCAAAATAAAACCTCCAGGGTGTGTGATGGGACAGACAGATGCGTAGGAATCGGTTTCTAAGTTAGTGGCAGCGCGTGGCTACCAGGGGTCTATTTTCCTGGCCAGGGTGTGATTGGTGATAAGGATAACATGGATGTGTCCTAGCATTTGGGAAATGAAGCTTGTTGGAAAATCCGACTTCCCGTAATTTATAACAAGCTCCCTTAAGGGGCCAGGAGCTCCCACTGATTGGTGGGTGGGCTCAGTCAGCAGTTCCATTTTCTTTATGTCAAAGCAGCCGCTTTTCTGGTTTTTTTTTTTTTTTTTTGAGACGAGTTTCGCTCTTGTTACCCAGGCTGGAGTGCAATGGCGCGATCTCAGCTCACCGCAACCTCCGCCTCCTGGGTTCAGGCAATTCTCCTGCCTCAGCCTCCTGAGTAGCTGGGATTACAGGCACGCGCCACCATGCCCAGCTAATTTTTCGTATTTTTAGTAGAGACGTGGTTTCACCATGTTGACCAGGATGGTCTCGATCTCTTGACCTCGTGATCCACCCGCCTCAGCCTCCCAAAGTGCTGGGATTACAGACGTGAGCCACCACGCCCAGCCTGCTTTTCTGGTTTTAATGGCGATTCGGTGAAACAGGCTCCTCTCACTCCTCAGGAGTGGGATGAGCAGAAGCCGCTTGTAGAATGTGGCTGACCCTCTGTTTAAATGTAAATAGCTGACTCTATTTAAATTTGTCTCAAGAATATAAGCAGAGGCGGGAGCCTGGGGTGGGATATAGGCACGCCCAGCTGAAGTGTCCTTTACATTTGCGAAAAGGAACAACCAGGGAGGGTAATTACCAGCAACAATACAGTGATCGTCTGAGTGAGGTGAGAGCTCTGTAGAGTCTTCTGGCTATCAGGCAGCCTGTTTTCACAGAACAGAGAAGCATGTTGTGGAACAGTGGGCTGTAGAACAATAGTATGACCCCAGCCCTCTAAGTGTGTACCTGTTTTTTTTTTCCCACATTTATATGAAATACTACATACTTAAAATACTAGTGATTATATTTAGGACCTGAAATCATAGATTGTGGTCTTGCTTTTTACTTATTTTTGTATCTTAATGATGTCTAGATATAGACAAGTGTTGCTTTTCTAATCAGAGCAAAAATCAAGGTGAATGATAAGGGCTATGGCCAGCCTAGGGGGTGGCCATGGGGCTCTGGGGCCCTCCTGGAAATAACTCGTGGCTGAGTGGGGAGTGAGGGTTTGGGGTCAGGGTGAGCTGAGGCCTGGCCACGGCAGTGGCGGTGTGGCAGACCTTCACCTGAGCCTGGGGCCCAGTGGGGAGTGGATGCTGAGGAGCAGGGGTGTTCTGTGGAATCTGAGACTTTGGGCTCATCCAAATGGATGTTACGTTTGGGGGTGCTTGTTTAAGGTGCAGTATATGAATAACTGCATTTCCTCACAGATCTATACACTGAATTTCAGCAGCACTCCTCTCAAGACTTGGCCCTCTTCCCTTCCCTGGCCTGCTTCCTGCAGCACATCCTTTGCTAGGGTCCAGAACTAGCCAGTGTGGCTTTTCTTTCCACACGCACTGCCTGGTCCACCTTCTTCTGGTAAAATGCCTGTGTCCTTTGTCCCCGTCTGTTCGGATTGTAAGTAGGTCCTGGCTATGGATCATTGTAACAGCTGCCTCTATTCTGTCAGTCCCTCGGGCCCTGCTGTCCACTGAGAGTCTGAAATCCTTTGTACTCGATCCCTAACTCTCCTCCACTCAGAAGCCCAGGCATGGCTGGAGTGGAGGTGGAGGCGGAGTGGGCCTGAATGAGCAGGGTCAGGCGCTGCCCAGCCAGGGGAGGAGGAGGACCCACCAAAGAGCCCAGATGAGCAAGGGTCAGCCACTGCCCTGCCAGGGGAGGAGGAGGACCCACCAAAACCTCTGGATGATGCCCCTCCTGCTCACCACCCTGCCTGCCCTGGCATGTTTTCTTGACTGAAACCAGTCCCTTTTCTGTGTAACTTCTCCTGTGATTGTGACCTTTGCTGGTTTCTCCCTTCTTTGAATGCAGAGGGGTCTATAATTCACTCTCAACTTAGCACACACTTTGGCCTGTGGGGGTTCCCAGGTACCTGACCCTAGCTCCTCAGCCAGGATGTGGGCCCCTGGAGGTGGGCCACACTGCCAGGCACGTGGTGTACAGTGCACCGACTGTTTGAATTACACTGGTCAAAGTTTAATTTCGTCATGTACAAAGCTTTCTAGGAAAATCTGATATAGGAAAATTCAGTTTTCACAACATTATTATGTTGACATTAAACATTTATGATTATTTTAAATGATCTGCTTTTGCAGTATATATAATGTATTTCATTTACGAAATTTATTTAAAATATTATGTTTTAGGAACATATATGTTTTGTTAGATGACATTTTTTGGTAATTGTCTCCTTTACAAAGATAACTATCATAATAGTACTTAATATGTACTGAGCTTACTGTGTCCCAAACACTGCCTGCATTCCCTTCTTTAATTCCTAGGATGACCTTGTGAGGTGTAAACCATTTTCTCTTCATTTCACAAATAGCAAAGCTGAGGGTCAGAAGTCTTGACTGACGCCCTGAGCAGGAGAGCTAGTCACAGCAGAGACCGGTGTGAGCAGAGCTCTGCCTATCTTCAGAGTCTGCGGGTTGGACGACTGCACCATTGCATGGATGTGTGCCTGTAAACGTGCAGGCGCTTATTTACCTGCGACTGTGCATGGACGTGTGCCTGTAAATGTGCAGGTGCATATTTACCTGCGACTGTGCACGGACGTGTGCCTGTAAACGTGCAGGCGCTTATTTACCTGCGACTGTGCATGGATGTGTGCCTGTAAACGTGCAGGTGCATATTTACCTGCGACTGTGCACGGACGTGTGCCTGTAAACGTGCGGGTGCATATTTACCTGTGACTGTGCACAGACGTGTGCCTGTAAACGTGCGGGTGCATATTTACCTGCGACTGTGCACGGACGTGTGCCTGTAAACGTGCAGGCGCTTATTTACCTGCGACTGTGCACGGACGTGTGCCTGTAAACGTGCAGGTGCATATTTACCTGCGACTGTGCACGGACGTGTGCCTGTAAACGTGCGGGTGCATATTTACCTGCGACTGTGCACGGACGTGTGCCTGTAAATGTTCAGGCGCTTATTTACCTGCGACTGTGCACGGACGTGTGCCTGTAAACGTGCGGGTGCATATTTACCTGCGACTGTGCACGGACGTGTGCCTGTAAACGTGCGGGTGCATATTTACCTGTGACTGTGCACGGACGTGTGCCTGTAAACGTGCGGGTGCATATTTACCTGTGACTGTGCACGGACGTGTGCCTGTAAACGTGCGGGCGCTTATTTACCTGTGACTGTGCACGGACGTGTGCCTGTAAACGTGCGGGCGCTTACTTACCTGTGACTGTGCACGGACGTGTGCCTGTAAACGTGCGGGCGCTTACTTACCTGTGACTGTGCACGGACGTGTGCCTGTAAACGTGCGGGCGCTTACTTACCTGTGACTGTGTACGGACGTGTGCCTGTAAACGTGCGGGCGCTTACTTACCTGTGACTGTGCACGGACGTGTGCCTGTAAACGTGCAGGCGCTTACTTACCTGTGACTGTGCACGGACGTGTGCCTGTAAACGTGCAGGTGCTTATTTACCTGCGACTGTGCACGGACGTGAGCCTGTAAACATGCAGGTGCTTATTTACCTATGACTGTGCACTTGTGTGTACCTGTAAATATGCAAATGCTCAGTTGTACAATTTACATTTATAAACTTACAGCAGTTTCTTAGAGTTGACTCTTACCTAGTTCATTGGGTTTTTTAAGTTAACTGTGCAAAGCAGGCAGGCCGTGAGACATCGCTTGGGTCTTGCCACCAGGTGATCCTTGAGCCAAAGGAGCAAGATTTCCCTGAAGCCAACCCCGGCAGAAGACTGTGCATTGTGCACAAGGACACACCTGTTGGCCTTTGGCAGTGGCTCCTCAGGGCTGCTGTGCAGAGGAGCCTTGCCCTGCGGTGACAGGCCCTGGCAGTTAGGGAGGGTGCTGTGGCTCCTTCAGCCAGTAATGCTGGGACGTTGACTGGTTCCTTAGGTAGACGGGTGTGTTTTTCATGGGAAAATGGTTTTGAATTTTTCTGGCTGGTGCTAATGAATCTAACTTGTGCTTTTTTTTAGGGGTATTATTGAAGCTCGTTTTGTGTATGTCTTTGTCCTTGGCATTCTGTTCACGGGCACCAAAGACTTACTTAAATCTCAAGTCGTTGCTGCAGACTTCAAAATCAAGACTGTAGGTTTATGGGAGATCTATAGTGGATTAGTTCTCCTGGCAGCCTTGCTCTTTAGACCACATAATCTTCCAGTCTTAGCATTTAGTCTCTTGATTCAGACTCTGATGACTAAATTCATCTGGAAGCCCCTGAGACACGACGCAGCTGAGATTACTGTAATGCATTATTGGTTCGGTCAAGCATTCTTCTATTTTCAGGTAGGTTTTCATTATCATCATGGGTAGAAGACTTAACTTTTTACATATCATTTAATTTAAATGTTTCTTTGAGGAAATTTTGCTGTAAGTTGGAAAGTTACAGTGTTTGTTTAGTGAAAGAACTGTCGGTATGGCGTGGTGAATTATGCTGAACTCTCGTGTGTTTTATAAGATTAGGTACGGTTGTTGAAGACAGACGCCCTAGGTGTGTGTGTGGGGGTGCGTAAGACACCATATTGCTGCTCTGAGGTGCCAGGCCTGTGTTTATCTCAGCAGTTCAGGGAGCACAGACGTTAAGTTTTTCACTTGCCTAATGATGAATATAATGTTCTCATTCATGCTGTTTGTCCTTGGTGTCAGGGCTGTCTGTACTGGGGCCATTGGTGCCCACGTGGTTATTAGCTCCCTGAGGCCTGGTGGGTCACCAGGGCTTCTGGCCAGTGTTTAAAGACCCATCCCAGACAAGCCCAAACCACTGAGTCAGAAAGAGACATAAATGGACAGGCAGGCAGGGCCTCAGAGGAACCAAGTCTCATCCAGCCTCCTGGCAACCTCAGGAGAGCGGGCTCACAGTGTGAGTGTTCTTGCTCATCTGTTGGCCCTCTACATTTGGCCAGTCCCTGGGTCTCTACCTCCCTTTCCTCCCTGTTTGATAAAGAAAATCATGAAGCACATCAGGACTGTTGGGTTAAATAAAGTCATGCAGGTAAAGCCACTGTGTGGCCACAGAAATGTCAGCATGGTTGGAACTCTGTGCCTGGCAGAACCTGCTCGGAGCCACAGTGGCCCCTAGGTGCCCTCCCCGCTCCTCCTATTGTGGCATCTGGGACTCTGTCCCCTCTCTGTGCCTGGCTGAACCTGCTCGGAGCCACAGTGGTCCCTAGGTGCCCTCCCCGCTCCTCCTATTGTGGCATCTGGGACTCTGTCCCCTCTCTGTGCCTGGCTGAACCTGCTCGGAGCCACAGCGGCAACAGGTGTCCTCCCCCCTCCTCCTGTCATTGCAGCTGGGACTCTGTCCCCTCACCGCCCTTCAGGGCCTCTTGCTGCTGCTGCTGCCTGTTTGCCTTCTCAGTCTCCCTGCACAAGGGCTTCCAAGCAGAGGAGTCACATGATCAGGGTGGCACCATCCAGGCTGCAAGTCCAGTGGGTCTCAGGGGAAGCTAAATCAAAGGGCTCGGGCTGAAGTAAGACAACAGGGCTAGGAGTAAACACACATCCACAAGATGCTGGGGAAGCAGCATCAACAGGATGTGGGGACCCCCTGGGCCCACAGCTGTCTGCATGGAAAAGAGAGGAAGGAGTGGGGTTTGACTATTGAGTTTGCCATGCTGGTGAAACCCAGCCAGTATTTTGTGGACGTGAACAGTTCTGGTTCTGGAGAGGGATCTTGTTTGGGCTTGATAGAGACACGTGCTGTCAGACTGTAGATGGCATGAGTTTCTGAGGCAAGGTCAGCATGACAGGCAAGTGACAGACCATCGGAGTCAGTAAAGATGGAGCATGGAGAAGCAGGGCCTGGGAAAGGAGAGGTGGGGCCTGGGGAAGGAGAGGTGGGGACTGGGAGCAGAGAGGTGGGGCCTGGGAGCAGAGAGGTGGGGTCTGGGAGCAGAGAGGTGGGGCCTGGGAGCAGAGAGGTGGGGCCTGGGAGCAGAGAGGCGGGGCCTGGGAGCGGAGAGGTGGGGCCTGGGAGCGGAGAGGTGGGGTCTGGGAGCGGAGAGGCGGGGCCTGGGAGCGGAGAGGCGGGGCCTGGGAGCAGAGAGGCGGGGACTGGGAGCGGAGAGGTGGGGACTGGGAGCGGAGAGGTGGGGCCTGGGAGCGGAGAGGTGGGGTCTGGGAGCAGAGAGGCGGGGTCTGGGAGCGGAGAGGCGGGGCCTGGGAGCGGAGAGGCGGGGCCTGGGAGCGGAGAGGCGTGGTCTGGGAGCGGAGAGGTGGGGCCTGAGAAAGGAGAGGTGGGGCCTGGGAGCGGAGAGGTGGGGCCTGAGAAAGGAGAGGTGGGGCCTGGGAGCGGAGAGTTGGGGCCTGGGAGCGGAGAGGTGGGGCCTGAGAAAGGAGAGGTGGGGCCTGGGAGCGGAGAGTTGGGGTCTGGGAGCAGAGAGTCAGGGCCTGGAAGCGGAGAGAGAGTCTTGAGGTGGAGAGGCAAGATCTCAGCAGGTCCTTTTTTGGGCAGGGCGTTACCCACCAGGGTTGGGCCAGGACTGGCCAGAATCTTGACAGATGAAGTTTGACCAGACCAAGTGAGTCCTCGTGGTCTGATACATAAGCCAGATGTGAGTTAGCAATCTGCATTGGGGCTGCACTCCCCCGGCAGCTGGCCTGCTCTCCACCATGTAACTCACAGGACCTCACTGTAGAAGGGACCTGGTCTTCAACCCAGCTACCTCCTTGGCTGGGCCCGGCAGCTGTGCCTCTCAGGGCCATATGTGTCCCCCCGGACGGGCGTCTTGAGGGGAGGTCCATGTGCCTGTCTTAAGAAAAGTTAGGGTTAAGGTCTGGACGAAGGTCTAAAATTTGCTGCAGTTGGCCAGCTGTTCTGTGTGTGTGTCCTTCCTCAGAGGGGCCCCAGCTTCTGCCCAGTTGGCTCACATGCCCCTCCGCAGCCTGGGCACTGCAGGCAGGGGGAGCAGGTGCCACCCAGGCAAGGCCAGCTAGGTGGTCTGAAGGAGTGGCTGGGCAGACCACATGTGTGTCTGTGCTGGTGTGGTTATCTGCGCTGCGTACAGATTTCATGCTAGCATCGCAGCTGTTGATGCCACATTTGAGGCCCGTGTCTCATCTTCTGTATTCTCATCTCAGCTCTTCTGTATTCCAGGGCAACTCCAACAACATTGCCACTGTGGACATCTCTGCAGGCTTCGTGGGTTTAGACACCTACGTGGAAATCCCAGCCGTGTTCCTGACAGCGTTTGGGACATATGCAGGGCCTCTGCTCTGGGCCAGCCACTTAGTGCACTTCCTGAGCTCAGAAACACATAGGTGAGGCGCCTCTCTTGTTCAGCAGTTCTGGGGATGGGCTGCCTGGTTTTAAGGGTTATATGTTGTTCCATATGCAAGGGGGTCTGAGCTCTTTGGGTCCAATAGTCTTTTCATCAGTTTTCTTTTCCTTAAATAAGGAACAGTCCAAAGCTCAAGTGCCAGAGGCCAGTTTGAGGGGCCGGTGTAGGGCCAGGCTCAGGTCTGATGTGGGGTCTTGCTGGGCTCCCCAGGTCACACCAGCACGTGGTTTCTAGAGACATAGGAAGGAAAATTCTTTTTCCCATCTCCGTAGATTTTTTCTGCTTGCTGGTGGCCAGATTGAGGGCAGGTAGTTCTTCCGCTTTGGGGACATGAAGATAAAAGATGGCTCTGGGCCCCCAGAGACCCTGCTGGTGAGTGCAGGACCCTGGAGAGGGCTCCTGGCTGGGACCATGCCTGGTCTGAGTCGAGTCATCCTTGAGTAGCTGGGGCATGTGCCTTCCACATGTAGGCTGATGAGTTGAGTTGGAGAAACGATGGGGTGCACAGGCAAGTTCAGAGGTGTGAGCCCTGCCCGTCGCTGAGAAGTCCCTTCAAGCCGCATCTGGCCCGCCCTCCACGCTGTCCTGCCTGGCCCATCTTGTTCCCTCCGCCTAGCCTGAGGTCTGTCTCTGACACCCACCTTGCTCCTGGTGGCTTTGTGCAGACGTTCCCCCGGGGGACATCAGGTCAAGGCTGCAGCCCTCCCTCCACACGTCCGTCCCATGGAGGCTTTGTGCACATGTTCCCCCAGGGGACCCCCAATCAAGGCTGCAGCCCTCCCTCCACACGTCTGTCTTCTCTGCAGCATTCCCACCACTGCACACTCGCAGCTTACTCCTTGTGTGTTTCTGTCTTGCTCCCCCAAGAAAAGAGGCTTCGTGAGGCAGGGGCTTCACCAGCTCTGTTCACCACAGCATCCTCAGTGTCTGGCCCTGGCAGAGTCAGGTGCTGAGTGGAGTGCAAGGAGGTTGGTTCTGTACTTCCCAACCTGGTCTAGCGGAGTCCCCAGGGCCTGCAAGTTATTTGATTCTCGGGTGCCTAGTTTCCCCATCTGTAAAATGGGAGTTGTCAATGGGGAGCACCTGGAAGCGCTCGAAGCCTTGGAGGGGCTGGTGGCTCCTGCGGCATCTTCCGGAGCGCCCTGTGCTCCACACTTGTCCCTGCTGCCAGCCATGGTCACAGAGCCCCGCAGTGCCTGTGCTTGTCGACTATGCTGAAATCACATGCCGTGGCACTGCCTCCTCCCCAGCAAGCGAGCATCTGAGACACTGGTCCAGCCTCCCACACACGCTAGGTGGCTTCAGCTGGGTCAGCCAGAGCTTCGTGTGTGTCCTGTGGTGACAAGAGGCCCAGGTCCTGCCGGGAGCCCCAGGTAGCGCGCCATGGCCCCTTGGTTGAGCAGTGAGGCTGGAGGGCTCCGGCTTCTTCCCGTGATGGAACAGTCGCTCTTGCAGTGCTGACTGCTGAGCCCCATGCCACCCCTCCCAGGACAGGCCAAGGATTTTCTTGCCGAGCTCTCAATGACTCCACGGAGCACTCTGCACGTTTCTGTGGCCCTGCTCTGCCCTCTGCTTTCCGCTCCACAGCCTCCTTCACCAGTTCATCCTCTCTGCCCCACCCAAATCCTTGCTGCACCTCATTCCCACTCCCCAGACCAGCTGCCAAGACCCAGGCCACAGGGACCCTTGCCCTTGCCTCCAGACCCAAATGCCCAGCCCCCCGTCAACTCTCTGCAGAAGTGTCCTCAGGCTGACTGGACTGAGGAGCCCTTCACAGGACACGCAGTGGAGCCCATGCACCCAGGTACACCCACCTGCTGCCCTGCCTTTGACCTTCTCCCATCCTGAAAGGAGCCTCTCACCGCTCACCTTCTGTGTTGAGGCTCTCACAGCGTGAATACTTCTGAACCAAAGGAACCGTCCACCATGGTGGAAGCACTCATGACCCACAGACTCAGTGAGCCCGGGCTGGACCCCCTCACTCCCTCACAGGTTTCCATAATGGGTCCAGGGGAGCACTGGCCTTGCTTCCGGGCAGCAGTGGCAGGCATGTGCATTCCCACAGCTGACATGGAGCCATTCCAAGGTCAGAATCACTTCCTGGCTAGACTGCAAGCTTCCTGAGGACAGGAATGCCTAAGATTCACCTGTGTTTTCTCCAGGTGCCTGTGGACGCTTGACACACCCACTTTGGGCAGTCTGTGGACAGGCCCTCTTAATTTACAGAAACTGCTGAACTCATGGTCAAGTAGAAAGCTAAGGTTCTGGGGGCAGAAGCCCCCAACAGACCAGCGTGGGAGATGCCTTCCCGCCATGGCAGGGCAGGGTGGGGCGGAGATGTCCTTCCAGACTTCGATCCTGTGAGAAACAAGCATCTGCTGTGAGATCACCACTCAGCCACCCGCCTGTCCCTCTGCAGTTGATCTGGGACAGCTTTTTCTGACTTGGTTTGAGGCCAGCTGTGTGCTCACACTGGGCTAATGGAAACAGGAGGCCCCGTCCTCAGCCGTCTAGGGTGAGCTGTCAGCACGTCTTGTGGTTAGGTGTCAGGACAAGTGGGTGTGAGTGCATGGAGGTGCGTCCATCTCCGCCCTGGAGCATGCGTGTGCCACAGCTGCGCATGGAATGATCCAGCACCTTCTGCATGCATGGCACACTTGCCAGCAGCCAGCTGGGGACTGAGGGCTGGAAGCACTGGCCCAGCCTCTCTCTAGATTCCGTCATTGGCCTTGCAGCTGCCCTGATGCTCGCAGGTTACAATCTGATGGACTACGCTACTTTTCGTCTCTTACATAGCCAGGCACATTGGGAGGAAAAAACTCAAATGAAAGCATTGTGTTTTTTTTTTGACACAGTTTTGCTCTTGTTGCCCAGGCTGGAGTGCAGTGGAGCAATCTCAGCTCACCGCAACCTCCACCTCCCAAGTTCAGGTGATTCTTCTGCCTCAGCCTCCCGAGTAGCTGGGATTACAGGCATGCGCCACCACACCCAGCTAATTTTGTATTTTTAGTAGAGATGGGGGTTTCACCATGTTGGCCAGGCTGGTCTCAAACTCTGGAACTCAGGTGATCTACCCATCTCAGCCTCCCAAAGTGTTGGGATCACAGGTGTGAGCCATCATGCGCAGCCATGAAAGATTTTTTTTTTAAGTGGGGGGGGGGGGAAGCATTTTGAACAGCTGGAGAGTATTGCCTATTATCCCTAGTCAAGGAGCGTTTCTCCTTCATTATATAACAGGTTTTTCTCCTTCCCTTTTGAGAGCTTAAAGTGTTAAGTTTTACTCATGGTTTCTTTTTTGTTTCAGTAGAGCAGGAAAACTATAACCAGGTCTAAATGGTAGACAGAGAAACTGTGTTTCCAGCAGGTGGAAAGTTTGGCCCTGAGTGATCGGTGACCCTCTGTTCCAGGGGCTGGCGGCAGGGCTGGCATCGAGGGCTGCCTGCTCCCTGCAGCACAAGCGACTCTGCTGAGGTTTTGGGAACAGCAAGCCACTGGTGGGGTTGTTATGATCAGACCCAAGCTGCCATCTGCTAGATCAGGCGTCCCCAAACTTTTTACATAGGGGACCAGTTCACTGTCTCTCAGACTGTTGGAGGGCTACCACATACTGTACTCCTCTCACTGACCACCAATGAAAGAGATGCCCCTTCCTGAAGTGCGGCGGGGGGCCGGATAAATGGCCTAAGGGGGCCGCATGTGGCCCGCAGGCCGTAGTTTGGGGGTGCCTGTTCTAGATGGATAACACCAAAAACTGTTAAACTGAAGTCAAGGTAGTGCCATGTCAAAGCCACAGCTTCCCACATGCTGTCTGGGTAGGATGGGGCATACCCCAGATGCCCATTTTTGCTTCCGAAGAGAGGGCAGTCACAGCCTTGGGACCCACAGCCCGTTTAGCCACGAAGCTTCCTGCCAAGTATGTTCACCTTCCTGGGTGTTGCCATCACCAGCACCTGTCGAGGGCGCCTTGGGGTCCACCTCCCTGTGGGGTCCCTGGCCTGTAGAGCCGGATACCAAGTGGCGACCAGTGGTAGAGGTTCGGAGGACCAGCCTAAGGAGCCTCGGTCTGGCAAGGAAAGCAGTGAAAGGCAACAGGCACCCGGGCCCCCACAGGGAGATCCGAGGGCCTGAGTATTGGACTAGAACACGTGGCAGGCTGAGGGAAGGAGTGGCCCACTGAGGCCTGAGATGGGGAGTCGGTGAGGAGTTGAGAGAAGGCCGTGGAGGGGGCAACCCGAGCTGCCCACCAGAGACAGCTGCGGGGAGCACAAGGGACCGGGCACCTGTCCTTGGCCCTTTCCTGAGCAGTGAGCACTGAAGCAGGAGCCGTCTACAGGACGCCCTCAAGTAGCACCTGGTGGAGCTGCCCATCTGACGGGACTGAGGAGCTTTTCACAGGACACGCAGTGGGGCCCACACACTCAGGCACACACACCTGCTGCCCTTCACAGTACACGCAGTGGGGCCCACACACTCAGGCACACACACCTGCTGCCCTTCACAGTACACGCGGCGGGGCCCACACACCCAGGCACACACACACCTGCTGCCCTTCACAGTACACGCGGCGGGGCCCACACACCCGGGCACACACACCTGCTGTCCTTCACAGTACACGCGGCGGGGCCCACACACTCAGGCACACACACCTGCTGCCCTTCACAGTACACGCAGCGGGGCCCACACACCCGGGCACACACACCTGCTGTCCTTCACAGTACACGCGGCGGGGCCCACACACCCGGGCACACACACCTGCTGTCCTTCACAGTACACGCGGGGGGGCCCACACATCCAGGCACACACACCTGCCCTTCACAGGACACGCGGCGGGGCCCACACACCCAGGCACACACACCTGCCCTTCACAGGACACGCGGCGGGGCCCACACACCCAGGCACACACACCTGCTGCCCTTCACAGGACACGCGGCAGGGCCCACACACCCAGGCACACACACCTGCTGTCCTTCACAGTACATGCGGCGGGGCCCACACACCCAGGCACACACACCTGCCCTTCACAGGACACACGGCGGGGCCCACACACCCAGGCACACACACCTGCCCTTCACAGGACACGCGGCGGGGCCCACACACCCAGGCACACACACCTGCCCTTTACAGTACACGTGGCGGGGCCCACACACCCAGGCACACACACACCTGCTGCCCTTCACAGGACACGCGGCGGGGCCCACACACCCGGGCACACACACCTGCTGCCCTGCCTTAGAGCTTTTCCCACCCTACGAGGAGCCCCTCGCTGCTCACCTCCTTTGTGATGCTCTCACAGCATGAATGCCTCTCAACTGTCCACCATGGTGGAAGCCCTCACGCCCCGCCCACATCAGACTGTAGCAGTGCCCTAAGCATCTCTGCACACCAGCATGCTTGCAGGAGGGCCTGCACAGTCGGCACAGGCTGCGCCGTGAGCAGCGGAAGCCATGCTTAGGGAGACCAGGCAGCAGCGAAGTGGGACACAGACGGAACAGAGAGACCACAGGCAGATCAGCTCTACACTCACTGCAGCCTTTGAGAGGAGGCCTCAAAGGCAGAACTTAGACTAGGATCCTGGAAAGCCTGGCTTCTGAGGGTTTGGGGGCCGTCCCATGAGCCGTTTCTAACAGGACTTGTTCAGAGGTCATGGATGGGGCATGGAAAGTGCCCAAATAATGGAATTTATAATTTTGAAGTCATCACAGACTCACAAGAAGTTGCTTTGAGGAAGATACGTATGTGATGTATTGTGGATTGAAAAGCAGGGCAATACATTAACATGTACTCTTATTCCAAGAATGCTACCTTTCCCTGTGGATTTGCTCAGCAAATGCTGCTGGGCCAGTTTCCCTAGCCCAGCCCAGGCTGACTCCCCACTGGACAGCAGGGAGAAGAGCTCAGAACTTGTATTTATGTTTATTTGTATCTTGCCCTTTTGTGATTTTCTATTCGTTGTTTGGTTTTTATAATGCATATGATATAGTAGCAAGTGGATATATAATTTTAAAGTAACTACAGTCTAGGGGTGCGTTTTTCAGAGGTGCTTTACAGACAACAGTGGCACTGCTGAGTAGCTGGGGCTGCAGCTGCTGTCCCCTCGGGGGCTGCGGTGGATGGATACGCAGACTTTCGCCCACCTCAGACCAACCACATCCAGACTTCCGTGGGGAGGGGCTCCAGAGTGGCACTTCTAGCACCCACCGTAGGTGGTTTTTGCTTACAGTCAAGTTTTAGAAGCATTTCTGGAGAGCTCCAGGTGTGTGTATGTGACATGGTGACCCTCACCCATCCTTCTGTTTACTCTGCTTTATTTTTCTTCATGAATTTGTCTCTTCCTGACATGTTACATACCTGGTTGCTCCTGCCTCCTTTACCGTAATGCAGCCTCCAACGGGGCAGGGTGGGTTTTCACATCTCCAGGGCATCTGGAGAGGCACGTGTCCCAGCACCGTAGTGACTGGATGTGAGTGGAAGAAGGAGCATGGCACCCTCTAGTCCCAGGGCAGGAACTACTGTAGTCTTTTTGAAAGTGAAAGTTTTGTTATACATGTGATACGTAAGTGGCATGTGCTAATACACGTTTTCTTTCTTATTAACAGCAGCTCAGCACTGAGTCATGCTTGCTTCTGCTACGCGATGATTTGTTCTATTCCAGTTTCCACGTATATCGTCTTGGTGACATCTCTGCGTTATCATTTATTCATATGGAGTGTATTTTCTCCAAAACTTCTCTATGAGGGGATGCATCTGCTCATTACAGCTGCTGTCTGTGTATTCTTTACAGCAATGGATCAAACCAGACTCACACAGGCTTAGACTAAGCTGAACACTGGAAAAATAATACATGCTTAAAGTCTGCTGTTATTCTAAGATGGAAGATGTGAATTCAACAAAGTTGATGAATAGCTTTAACTTCTTTGAGTACTGTACCTGAATTTAGGTTAAGTAGTAAATAGTTTAATAAACGGTCACTTTAATACACAGTCTGTATCATATTTCCCCTATTGGGAATCACTCTAAAAGCTTCTGGACTTTTAATTTCCTCTGAATAAGCTATAGTATGACCCAAATAGGTGTGTTTAAATCAATGAATGAAAACATTCTGGCCTTTGTTAGAGTCCAGGCGCTCTGGAAGGAGGCACCAGGATTATCTTAGGGGGCTCTGCGCTCTTAGAATCCTGCAAACCACTGAGGGCCCCAAGGAGCTTTGGTTTATGAGGATTACACGTATCAGTGTTTATGGCATTTGAGATGAAAACTAAGATTTTAAAAATTAGTCATTTATAAAGAATCTATTGCATATTAATATAACACTTTAAGGAAATATAACTGTATTTTCCAAAACAAAAAAATTCAGTGAGACCCAGCACTTTGGGAGGCCAGAGTCAGGGGATCACTTCAGCCCAGGTGTTTGAGATCAACCTGGGCAACATAGTGAGACCCTCAGATCTCCAAAAACTTAAAAAATTAGCTGGGCCTGATGGCACACCCCTGTGGTCCCAGCTACTCAGGTGGCTGAGAAAAGAGGATTGCTTCAGCCCAGAAGTTCACAGCTGTGGTGAGCCATGACTGAGCCATGATTGTACCGCTGCACTCCAGCCTGGACAACAGAGTGAGACTCTGTCTTTAAAAAATAAATAAAAAATAAATGTGTAATGAGAAAAATGGTATTGTTTTACATTTTTGCAAACCTCTTTAATGTCTGGCTTAACTGAAGCTAGTTGAATTCTGTTTGACCTGATGTGATATGTGTGTGTGGTTAAAATAGAAGAAGAAAATCGGCCGAGTACAGTGGTCGACACCTGTAATCCCAGCACTTTGGGAGGCCGAGGTGGGCAGATCACCTGAGGTCAGGATTTCAAGACCAGCCCAGCCAATATGGTGAAAACCTGTCTCTACAAAAATACAAAAATTAGCTGAGCATGATGGTGGGTGCCTGTGATCCCTTCTGCTTGGGAGGCTGAGGCAGAAGAATTGATTGAACCCAGGAGGCATAGGTTGCAGTAAGCCGAGATTGTGCCATTGTATTCCAGCCTGGGTGACAGAGCGAGACTCCCTCTCAAAGTAAATTAATTAATTTAAAAAAATATGTATATATGAAGAAAATCTAGCCTCAGACAGATCAGTAGTTGGAAAGAGGAGGAATATTTTAATGTCCTTTTTATGATCATTGTGGATTTTTTTTCCTTTTGAGACGGAGTTTTTTTTTTTTTTTTTTTTTTTTTTTTTTTTTTTTTTTTTTTTTTTTTTTGAGACGGAGTTTCGCTCTTGTTACCCAGGCTGGAGTGCAATGGCCTGATCTCGGCTCACCGCAACCTCCACCTCCTGGGTTCAGGCAATTCTCCTGCCTCAGCCTCCTAAGTAGCTGGGATTACAGGCACGCGCCACCACACCCAGCTAGTTTTTTTTTGTATTTTTAGTAGAGACGGGGTTTCACATGTTGACCAGGATGGTCTCGATCTCTCGACCTCGTGATCCACCCGCCTCGGCCTCCCAAAGTGCTGGGATTACAGGCTTGAGCCACCGCGCCCGGCCTGAGACGGAGTTTTGCTCTTGTTGCCCAGGCTGGAGTGCAATGGCACCATCTCAGTTTACTGCAACCTCCGCCTCCCAGGTTCAAGTGATTCTCTTGCCTCAGCCTCCCAATTAGCTGGGATTATAGGCGTGCACCACCACGCCCAGCTAATTTTGTATTTTTAGTAGAGACAGGGTTTCTCCATGTTGGTCAGGCTGGTCTCAAACTCCCAACCTCAGGTGACCCACCAACCTCAGCCTCCCAAAGTGCTGGGATTACAGGCGCGAGCCACGTTGCCCGACTGGATGTTCTTTTTTGTTAATACCAAATCATTTTTGGTGTCAACACCAAAACTTGACAAGTGACAGTTTTCTGAAGGTTAGTTCGACCAAAAGAAAAGAAATGAGTATGTAAAAACATGAAAGGCTGCTGAGGGCTGTATTTGAATTAATAGAATCGTGCCCACATTTTCCTGGTTTTGATCTGGGTGTGTAAGATACCATCATTGGGGGGAGCTGGGTAAAGGATACATAGAACTCTCTGTACTATTTTTGCAACTGCTTGTGAGTCTTCAACTATTTCAAAATAAAAGTTATTTTGAAAAAAGATTTGCTGCCATATGGAATCTGAAATCATATCAATGAACTTTCATGTCCTGATGCATTACAGCACATTGACCTCTCCTGCATCCTGAGTGGAACTTTTACCCAGATGTGATTCTTACATCTGCATTGTTGTCTGGAATATAACGGTTCACTGAATGATACAGATTTCCAAATGTTGTTCATTATTCCATACCTAAATCGTTTATTTATATCACTGCCAGTCTCATCAGAAAAGTCTTTAAAGCTTGGATGGTGGCCCACACTTGTAATCCCAGTACATTGGGAGCTTGGGGAAGCAGGAGGATAGCTTGAAGCCTGGAGTTTGAGGCCAGCCTGGGTAACATAGTGGGACCCCATCTCTAAGAAAAAAAATTGAAAATTAGCCAGGTGCAATGGTATGTGTCTGTAGTCCCAAGTACTCAGGAGTTCAAGGCTGCAGTGAGATAGGATTGCACCATTGCACTCCAGCCTGGGCAACAGAGCAAGAGCCCATCTCTAAAAAAATAAAAATGTAAAGAAAAAACAAACTCACCATCCAGAAGAAACAATCACTACCATTTAGTGGATACAGTTCACTAAATGGAAGACGGAGGGAGGATGCATAGGTGCATACATGAAGATCGTAATATAAAAAGTGATATATATCTTAGAAAATTAAGAAAATAGATTTCTTAAAACATCTGTTAAGACAGTTGGTAGCTAACAAAGAGAAAGGGCAACTTCTCAGGCAGAGGATACACAAAGCCTTGTTTCAATATGGAAGGCTGATTGCCACATCAAAGGAAGTATTTCTGCCTCTTCATACCTATAACTGGAATATTGTTAGGGCAATTCAATGACAAGATTAATACTGTTTTAAGGTATTTTTTATGCTAGACTTTATTCTCCGGTTTATGCTCAGTGGAGCCCTGTGACCAAGTTTTTTTGTAACACCAGTAACTTGACAAACGACAATACGATCCTAAGATATTTGGAGGAAGAAAATGCTAGCAGGGATCATTACATGGTGAAATTGATTTTTCACTCATTCAGCTACTCCGTGTCTTTTGATGGGAGAGTTTGATCCACTTACATTCATTATTACTACTGGTAAGGAAGGACTTACTCTTGCCATATTGCTGGTTTTGTGGTCTTCTTTCTTACCGTCCTGTCTTCCTTTAGTGAAGGTGATTTTCTCTGGTTATATTGTAACCAGGGGACAGGAGCAGGTTGCAGGGGTGTTCCAAAGACACTCATTGTTCCCTGACCGGATGGGTTTTCCCAGCCTTGGGCCTCGCTTGCCCGAATGGGGAGAGAGCCCTGGTGCGCAGTGAGCTTGTTCAAGTATTGGACCCAGAGAGTTTTGCAGAAACGCAATTAGGCAGAGAGAGCGAGAGAGATAAAGGGAGAGAGCTCCCACACTGTCGTAGGAGGGGATCCAGAGATGGAGTCCGTATAGGTAAGGGAGCAGGGGGAATTTAACCCCCGGGTTACTCCCACCCCATTCAAGTTCTGGTCCAGTGAGCGGAGCTTTTCCAAAATTCCTCTAGAGTGATTGATTGACTCGATGCTGGATTGGCTGCCTGGCTTGCAGTAGAGCCCCTCCTTCCAAGGCTTTTGGTGGGCTTTCTAAACAAAGGAAGCTCACCTGGGCTGTCTATCCTTGCTCATGGGAAAGTTAGACAAAGAACTTTAATTCTGGCCGGGCTCAGTGGCTCACACCTGTAATCCCAGCACTTTGGGAGGCGGGGGCAGACGGGTCACCTGAGGTCGGAAGCTTAAGACCAGCCTGACCAACATGGTGAAACCCCATCTTAAAAAAAAAAAAAAAAAAAAAGAACTCTAGTTTCCAGATGGGGACATGAATGAAGGCAGGTCAGGCATGTCGCTGGGAAATTTCTGCCTTTGAAACCACACCCCGTGTGGACTTGGGAAGAGAAGTTAACATAGTCCCTCAATATGATTTAGTTTCTCACTTTTTATTTTTTGTCTATCCAGTGTATGTTTTCTGGTTTGAGGCCACCATGAGCCTGCATATACTATTTTATAATCCATTATTTTAAGCTGGTAGCAACTTAGAGACCACTTGGTTCTCTGCCCACCATGGCTCTGCTGGTACCTAAAGTGCAAGGTCCTCCTGCTTTTCTAAAGCAGAAGAAATGTGCTGAGACCCACCTGAAGCCAGCCATTCTCAGAGGCTGATTAAGGCCCTCATTGTAGGACCTGGGTGTCCCTACTGGTTATTCAGAGCCCAAGGGCTCTTCCCTTAGCAGGTGATGAATGCTTCCAGGACTGGGTCTTTCCCTGAAATGCAGTGGGTTCCCTTCTCACCCAGGGAGTGCCTAGAAATGTCATCCAGGAGCTAGTCCTGAAACAGGACCTCACAAATCTGACCAGTGCCCTAATCCTGCTTTGGCTGAGCTGGTATCCAAGATGCAAGACAATGTTCTCCCCACTCTTCCCTCTCCTCTCATCAAGCAGAAAGAAGGGGTCTCTTTTGGAGCTTTGAGCTGTGTAGCCTGGGATTAGGGGAGGGGTGATGCCACCCCAGCTGGTATCTCAGTAAGTTGCATGCCCCCTCAGTCCACTGTCTCTGGGCCAGTTCAGCACCAAGACTCACCTGTGAAAAAAAAATTTTTTTTTGAGACGGAGTTTCGCTCTTGTTGCCCAGGCTGGAGTGCAATGACGAGATCTCAGCTCACTGCACCCTCCACCTCCTGGGTTCAAGCAATTCTCCTGCCTCAGCCTCCCAAGTAGCTGGGATTACAGGTGCCCACCACCACTCCCAGCTAATTAGCAGAGATGGGATTTCACCATATTGGCCAGGCTGGTCTCAAACTACTGACCTCGTGATCTGCCCGCCTTGCCCTCCCAAAGTGC